GTTAAGCTAAAAAAGTAAAAACATCTTCCCTCATAATGGTGACAATTTATATGAATAAACTGGATACTGGTAGTGTTTAGTAAAAGTATATAACTCAGTATTAGCAGCGCTAACATTAAAAGCAAAATAAAAAACAAATCAAATATATACAAAACACGTGACGCTACACCTGATGACTTCCTCTTAACAATCTCGGTTCAACAACAATTATTATTATATAATATATAATCTAACTCGTGTTGACATAACTATTAAGGAGAATTTAACCGACTTCATTCAAAGAGGTTTCTCAATATGACTCAATTACGACAATTCTTTTGTTAAATGAATATTAAAACGTTAGGTGCTAGTTACAGCGACCATAACGACCTCACGGACCACGGTTCATAACATTACGTCATATTTGTTTAAAAAATTTACATATTTTTATTAATACTTTGTTGTTCAAATTGTTGTTTCGGTCAATGGAAACTTGAAAATAGGAAAATGTTTTCAATGACATTGGATATTTATAAATATAACGGTTTCAAATTTTAAATATGTAATAAATGCAGATTTTATTAATGTGTCGGCGCCATATTAACTAATAGTCCAGTCAAAATAGACATTTGACTTAGCCAAAATTCGCATAGAGCTGAAAATTGCCAGAGACGTTACATACATCATTATAAATGAAATATCAAAAGTCCCCTTCGATCCTAATTCTGCAAAAAATTTTATTTAAGGTCAAAAGTATAAAATTAAGGATTTTTCCATTTTTCTCGAAAACAGTAAGTATTATCGTGAAAATAGGTCAGACAAAAATTGTAGATCATACAATTCTCTACAAAAATGGTCTAGTATTTTTTTCTCTTACGACTCACCATTCATGAGATATCGCGGTTTTAATCATTAAAAAAATTCATATTTTACATAATAGCACACATTTCCGCACCACCTATGAGGTAATGTACTTTGCGCATTTTTTTTAACGTGGTTTCCCCAGTAGGTACACTCCACGATCTATTGTAATAAAGAAAGTTTGATCAGATCGTATCCTATTAATTGAAAGAATAGTAATATTGCTAATGATTACAGTGGAATAGGTAGGTTGTTTTTTTCTACATGTCATCATTATATAAGATAATTGTCTATTTCTACTTCAACAACTATTTCTTCGTTTTCATTCTTTTCTTCTTGCAGAATTTCTGTTCGCTGTTCTAAGAAAAGGGATGCATCAAATGTCATAAACATCATCTGTTGTATTTGTTTCAGTATTGGAGCAAGTCTGACCCTGACAATTTTTGCATACTGGCGAACAAAATAATCCTACTTTTTGACAGCCACAATTCTTACTACAATCCGTCTTGCATTAACAAAAAATAGTATTAGGTAGTTTTTCTGGAGCAGGCGGGAGTAAAGTTTGAATTGGCTCAAAATAATTGTCTGTTAATTTCCAAACCCCATTCTTCTGGGTCCAGCTAATGAGCTAGGCAATGGCCTAGCCACACTTGAACTTGATAATACACACGATACAAGTGTTGAAAGGCAGAAGCAGATGTTGGAGGCAGACTAGATAACTGTACTGTTTTATTGTTTCATGCAGATTTTACAAACTTCAAATATCTATATTTGTCTATGGAATCAATTTTTTTGAGCGCCATACATTGCAAGAAGAAAACAAATTCCATTTGTAACGATGTCGTGTGTAGAAGAGTCAATCTTTGTGAATACTTTTGCGCAATGAATTAAATCATTAGGTTTTTCAAACAATTTAAATACTGATGTTTTACCTCTTTTAAAAATGGCTGATGTAGTATCGCAACCAGTTATTGCATGTAAAAATAAAATATGAGCTTGACATTTCGGATATGCAGTCAGACTTTGTGATAAATATATTGTTGAATGTACTTGTGCTTTCCCAGGTTTTAAAAAGTAAATAATTTTATCATTTGGAGTCCATGCAGTCAGTAATATCAACAAATCAACATCTTACTCAAGGTTACCGACGAAGGGAATTAGGTACTGACAGTATAGTCTTATATTTTAAAATCCTCATTTAATTTATACAAGTTTTATTGTGTAAGTAACACAAACGAATAGTTTCTTATTTTCATTTATATTGAACGTCGGGTGACGTATACAAGCTGCATTTAAATGCATATTATGTAAAATATGAATTTTCTAATGATTAAAACCGCTATATTTCACGAATGGTGAGTCGTAAAAGAAAAAGTGACTCGACCATTTTTGTAGAGAATTGTATGATCTACAACTTTTGTCTGACCTATTTTTACAATAATACTTACTGTTTTCGAGAAAAATGGAAAAAACCTTAATTTTATACTTTTGACCTTGAATATTTTTTTTTGCAGAAGTAGGATCGAAGGGGATTTTTGATATTTCATTTATAATGATGTATTTAACGTCTCTGGCAATTTTCAGCTCTATGCGAATTTTGGCTAAGTTATGACTTATTTTTGTCTATTTTGACTGGACTATAAGTAGACGTCAAAATCATGGCGCCAACTAATTTGTCAACATTGTTTCAAAACGCATTTAAACTGTTATATAGAATTAAATTATTAAAGAAAATATCTATAAATTAAATTATGTTTCTACACAGCACTCGAGATTATAACTTTTCCAATAAATAAAAACGTTGACATTGGCAAAATATTTCATGATTCCAGTGCGAATGAAGCCGTAGTATAAAAAACTGTTTCACGTATTTACTACGATCTTTATTATATTATAATTTAGTGAAATTTAATTTCACTTCCACTGTGATAATGTGTAATCAAAAAGACAGGATATTGTATATAATTCATTATACATATGAGATAAAAATAAAATAAAGATATTTAATCACATTTAAAAGCATATCTATTTGATTTTTTGTTCAATACTCATTTGTTAATTTTTATTAGTGATTTAAATATATATTTGTATCAGATTCTTTTCACATACAAATAAACTAGCTATAATGAGTACAATATAAGTAAAGTATTGTATTTGTTCCTTTTCCAACAACAATGTCCGTCACATGAATGATGTTACTTCAGCTCAGCATGTCAAATTATAGATTGAATAATTTTTTAGGGAAATGTATTACAATTATATATTTAATGATCAAATATTATTTATTTATACTGAATTCTAATTAAAAGAAATGACAATCAATTAATAAGTAAAAGACATAATAAGAATTTATTATACAAAGAAACTTCTCAGTAGAAACATATAATATTTTGTTGGTAATCAAGATATGACTTAGTCAGTGGTGACTCAGTGGTTAAAGGGCCCGCCTCTCGGCCTCTCGTCGCCGAGGGCGCGGGTTCGATCCTGACCCGGGCAAGTACCAATGTGATTTTTCGGAATCATATGTACTTTCTAAGAGTATTTAGACATCACTGATTAATGTTGATTCCCAAAAAGAGGGTTGATGTCAGGCAGGCGGCCGGTCGTAAAAACAAATAGCCAAAAACTATTCATAGCATGTAAGGCAGACCCTGGCTATAGCTGGGAAATTGCCAGGTAGAAGAAGAAGAATCAAGATATGACTTATTTTAACATCAATAACTAGGATACACAAACTTAAGTTATCAAAATGTGATACCAAGTCAGTTAAAAGTTTGGTCACATTTAACCAATTACAGAAAAATGTTAATAAAGTTATTCACACACAACATACAACTATCACTACAACAATATATTGGTTTGCATTTTATTATCTTACAGAACACTTACAAACAAGTTATATAGTATGGAGCTTGTAGGCGGCCGGGTTCAATTGTTGATACAAGACATACATTCAACCCGTACTTTGTAAGAGTATTTAGACATCACTGATTAATGCTGATTCCCAAAAGAGGGTTGATGTCAGGCAGGCGGCCGGTCATAAAAACAATTAGCCAAAACTATTCACAACATGTAAGGCAGACCCTGGCTACAGCTGGGAAATTGCCAGGAAGAAGAAGATACATTACACCCATTATATAAACTATGATTGTCTTCATATTAAGACAGGAATATCATCACATTATTTATATATTGTCTGGTATTTTCTGGTTCCTATACCAGGTTGTTCTTGGAGTTAGTAACATCACATACAAGGCTTAACATCAATGCTTAGTTATATGTATAAATATTTAATTAGATGTAGTTCAATTATAATATCTTAGTATATGAAGTTTGTTTTCACTTTGATATGTATTAGTTATACTTGCTCCTTTAATTAAACTAATATGATGTCTAGTATTGTAGGTAGATTACTTTATTATAGTAGTTGTTACTCTGTTTGCTACTTGTTTGCTACTTGGAACAATACATACATGACTTTAATATTGTTTTATTGAATACAACATACTTGAAGTCTGTTTACTGCCCTATACTTATCATTTTTCAGTTACACATACATTGTTACATAAATATACATATATTTTAGTTAATTAAGTGTGGCTGCCTTATAATAAGTTTGTTTTGAAACATTTTTTATTATAATGAATACTTTTTGCTAGTTTTGTATGTATATTATAAATCCTGAACACAAAAATATAGTTATTACTAGTTTCAGACAACATTCTGTTAATTCAAAAATTGAAATGAATATATTGATTTGAGTTTAGACACAATGTTTATACATAATAGTGATTGTAAATAATATTGTGAACTAAAATCTATGTTACAACTTCACTAGTGTTTTATACTGGGCCATTCTTCACCTCCATACCCTTTCTAAATTTTGAAAGGTAGATTTTTTTTGTTTTCTTGTTCTTTAACATACTTACTTCATCTATTCAGAACAACTCATAGCCACTTCAATAGACATTTTATTATCGAATTATAATTATTGTTCTAAATATTTCTTAAACCAAAATACTTTACGAATTAATGATAATTTTTGAGCGTTATAAGTATATATAATGACATAGCCATTCTGCTAAGATTTTGGATGATTATTAGAATCTTGTTAGAATTTTCTGTTAAGTGTGTCGATATATAATTTGTATGAAACTCACCGCTCTTTGGTAAGCTTCTGATGACATTGACCGCTGCGCGGAACTTTTCTTCGAGAGACATGACTATTACTTCACTTTAAAACAAAACAAGCGCACTTTGGACTTTTATATCACAAACATATTCGTGTTCATTTATTAACACACCGTATGATAATATTACTTGAAAAATTATATTATTTTGAACAGTAACACAAATTATTTGATTATTTGTTCACTTTAACACTTCTTCCGCGACAGTAGTACGTTATCAAGGGGTAAAGACGATTGCCAATTGATTGAGTTCGATAGACCTACTGAGTACTGAGCTACTGTGAAAGATATAGGGACGTCATGTATCGAATGACAAAGTAAATATTATCGACTGTCAAATACATGTAGTAATAGAAATTAATATTATTAATATATATAACATACATTTACAAAACTAATATATTGTTGCAAACTAATTATAGGGTTTTAGCATTTCAAAGCAACAAAGAATTTATTATTTTACATAATTTTGATAACCATAACACAACAATTTAATTTAATGTAGATCATTCTATTGTATGTATTCATTCATACGAGCGAACCCTTCATATGAATGAATATAATTCAATTATATAATGTCGAATATATTATTTTTAAAGGGTGAAAATTATATTAAAGATTTATACTTAATATCGATAAATTGCTTTCTGGAAAGAATCCATTAGAAAAATATTCTTTACAACTTAATAATAAATTATTAAAGCATACATTTAATTTTCAATAATATGAAATATAGTTGCTCTTAGCTGAAAAATTATTTTGTATAGCGATCCTTTTTTTATTTTAAACATATATACATATTTTTGCGTCTGTCAACAATCTTGCGGTCTCCTGTCTCTATTGTCAAATTAAAATAAACCGAGAGCTCTTTTCGCGATAATTTCATTTTTAGAAGGTAAATAATCCGAAAATACATCTGTAATCCTAACGTTTTAGTCTTTTATTCCATAATATTTGTGTTTATGAGTGTTTTGTGTTGTGAAAGGACATATTATTTTCTGTATCCCGTATTACTTTCCCATATTTAGCGGTTCCTCATACGATCGATAATTTTAAGTTATATCGTCTTAGGTCTATCGGTAGATACTATACAGTTACATACAAACCTTTGTTCACGAAACAGCACATAAAAAAGTAATATATAGTTGGTAGTGTTCTTTCTGTGAATCACCAATTTTGGTAAATTGTTACAATAAAGCGTGGTTAACATGAATAAATTAGGAATATAAACGAATATATATTTATAACCTTTGATCGTAATTTGTAAATTGTTCAGCAGAGTTTTTATTATCAATATCATCAAAATTTCTTTGGATTCGTATCAAATAATTTAAGTTTAATTTCCTCTCATACATCGTCTTCTGTTTCTTAACAAAAGAATCCTTTATCATCTAAACGAACAATACTCACAACTCCAAATTATATATTCCTTCCATATAACTTACGTACCCTTAATAAGCTTGGTCGTCGAATTTTAAATAGTTCGTGACTACATTCATATTATTATAATTTCAGACACCATAGACCAAAAAATGCCAGAACTGACAGAATTAGACAAGGCCACGGCCTCGATGACCGAGAAGCGCAAGGAGGAGACAGCTTCATCAGACAGCGACTCTGACGACACTATCCCGGAGCTGGAAGATGCTGGTACGTACTGAAGAGATGAAACTTCTCATCATTCAATGTATTCACGGTGCGTGTGCCGGGTCCATCGTTGTAGTGAGAGGAGCTTCAACAGTGACTGGGACTTGCGACCCAGGTGTAGGATTAAGGACCTTATCTAACGAATTAAACGCTCACCTCCACCATCCAAGCTCCTCTCTATACCTAACCAAATTTGAATAAATGTACAGACAATCTGTACAATATAACAGGATAAAATTTCAAGATTATATTATATTATTTTCTCCGATGGACTTGGCTTTGCTTCCTTATCTCAACATTTTTAGTATTAATTGTTATTGCTATATTGAGTTAATTAAAAAACAATTATGACATCATTAATTACTGTAATGGCCATTTAGGAACACTTTGCATTTTAATAATATATATTTTTAATACACCTATGATGACTTATAATTTACGTAGTGTTTTGATTTTATAATGAAATCTTCCTTGGCTGTGTCTGAGGTGTTCAGAAATCTTTAAATGTATATATTTTATATATTGATTATTGTTTACAATACAATATTAACTGTTATTTGTTCCAGGAGCACCCGGTGCCGGCGGCATCACCAACCCAATGGCAGGGACTGACATGGTGTCCAAACAGAAACAGTCCCGAGGAGAGAAGAAGGCTCGCAAGATTATGGGCAAGCTGGGACTCAAACCTGTTAGTACTACTACTGAATATACAAGTTGTATAATATGTGCCCTGTCGCTGACAGATCCGGGGTACACCGACATAGCTGCCGATGGCTTTCGCAGTGGTTTTAGTGAGTAGGGGCCTGCCCAGGTCGAGCCTCACACATCCCTTCCGGCCCCACCAAGGCCGGTTGGACAGCTCGTAAAAAGAGTTTCCCTGCGACATCAAAAAAAAAAGTTGTATAGTATAGACTTATACTGGACAAAATAATGATGAAATTAGGTTAATAATATATCCTCCTCCTACTTGCGTTGGTTTCAATGCTGAAGGTCGTGTTCGTCCGCGTGGAATAGTGACTTCCGGCAGATTTTTGGTTCTTCCCACATAGTTCCTGTTCTTACGGGGTTTTCGGAATGGTCGAGTTCCCGTAGAATTTTCAGGATAAAACCTATGTTTTTTTTAATTCACAATGAAGTACTCTTAACTAAAAACATATTTACTTGTTTATTTGAATAAAGATTAATATTACAACTTAAACAAATTATTTCGACCAAATTAGGTACCATAAAAATGTTTTTTGTGAGTTAATCTTAAAAGATAGACATATACTGTCGCGGACTGTTTTTTAGATCATTAAAAGACTTATTATTCTTTAATACATATTTTTTTTGTATCTTGAACCGTTTTCACGTCGCACGCAACGGAAGGCTTCAAAGATGAAATAATTTCTCCCGTTTTTTACACATTTGCCACTATATCTTTGCTCCTATTTGTCGTAGCGTGATGTTATATAGCCCACAGCCTTCCTTGATAACTGGACTATCCAACACAAAAAGAATTATTCTATTCGAACCAGTAGTTCCGGAGATTAGCGCTTTCAAACAAACAAACAAACACTTCAGCTTTTATTTTATTTTTATTTATTGGATCGCCAACAAAGTATACACAATTACAAACATTTAAATTAATACAATCAAGATGCTATGTGCTACTTCAGTTACAGGCAACCACTTCATGCTGAAAAAGTAACAGAGTGCGTCACAAGGTTAACATTTTTTAATTGTTTTTTTTTAAATCAAAAGGCCTTCCCGAGAATATATCAATTTTAGTATTTTTATAAAGAGAGTTAAACTTTAAAGTCATTCTATTCAAAGGTGAATAATGAGTGAGATTACTTTTGCATTTTTTTGTGTTGAATGGAGTATACACGAGCCTTCTTGGGAGTTTAACTGGTGCATTTAAGTATAGTTTTGAAAGTAATTGCGGGCTGTCTATATCTTTATTTACAATTTTGAACAGAAATGTATGGTCAAGTATTTCTCTTCTATTTTGTAGAGAATCAAGGTTAAAGTATTTTAATCGGTCAATGTAATGAGGATGTGTTTTAGTTATGTTACAACTATAAGACAGGTGCCACATAATATTAGTATAGATATTTTTGAATATGGAAACATTTCAACACAATTCAATTTAAAAATACTATTAATTTAAATTTAATTTGAAATTAAAGCAATTCTTAAACAAGTAATCACTAATCTGAATCTCTTTCCAGGTCCAAGGTGTAAGTCGCGTCACCATCAGGAAGTCAAAGAACATATTGTTTGTGATCAGTTCACCCGATGTGTACAAGAACCCACACTCGGACACATACATTGTGTTTGGTGAAGCCAAGATCGAGGATCTGTCTCAGCAGGCCACCATGGCTGCCGCTGAACGGTTCAAGGCTCCCGAGACTGCTGCCGCTGGAAATGACACCGCTACTTCTGGAACGGTTAGCTATATATACTAGCTTTCCGCCCGCAGCTTCGCCCGCGTGGAGTTCGGTTATATCGCGTTTCCAAGAAAACCTTTCAAAAGTCTAGGATAAAAACTATCCTATGTTCTTTCTCATGGTCAAATCTATCTTTGTACCAAATTTTATTAAAATCAGTTCAGTGGTTACCCGTGAAAGCGACAGACAGTTACTTTGAAATTTCTCATTTATAATATTAGTAGAGATATAACAATCTTTGGGAAAACTTGACTGATGATTCAATTAGGAAATTTCAAAATGATATAGCAACATCTCAAATTGTATTCCGACCACTACCAGTGACTATATGATAATGAACCTCTGTATTTTCCAGAACATGTTCTTTATATACATCTGTAACATTATGCAGGTTCAAATCCTGCTTGTGTGAGTTTCACAGTGCATATTTCCTATTTAACTAAAAAAACTAAACTTAGTAATGTTATTACAATAATTCATGTAATCTTCTTCTTCCTGGCAATTTCCCAGCTTTAGCCAGGGTCTGCCTTACATGTTGTAATTAGTTTTGGCTAATTGTTTTTTACGACCGGCCGCCTGCCTGACATCAACCCTCTTTGGGAAAAATATAATTCATGTAATAATAGTTTTTATCTTAACTTGATAACTAATGAATATTTCTCAACACATGAAATCTAAAACTTTCGCGTATTCATTTAAATGAAACTATTATTTTTCGGATTATACTACTCGACTTTACTTTCGAAAAAAACTACATACTCATGTTTCAGCTACTATTCAGTAACTGTGACCATTACAACGAGATGTGGACTAATAAGTAGTCTTTCTCAACATATTTATGCTAATATTTCCAGACGGTGGCTCCCATAGCTGAGGAAGAGGACTCTGAGGGTGCTGATGAAGGGGATGTGGATGAGAAGGACGTGGAGATAGTGATGACACAGGCCAACGTGTCTCGAGCACGAGCCGTCCGGGCTCTCAGGAACAACCAGTCGGACATTGTTAACGCTATTATGGTTAGTTACATTACTAGTATAGTCCGTTTGATTTAAGCTGAGCTCTGCATTTGAGTGAGTGCACATGGATAGTATATGTGTGATGTCAAATTATTGAATGCCACATTCTTTTCTAGTTTTTAATCGATTTATTTTGCCTTTACTCCGCCTAATATACAAGTATATTATAGTACAAGTCACCACACAAGTAGTTCATTCAGAAATATTGTAGTATTCAATAAAACTATATTATATTTGTCGTATATGTATTGTTCTAAGTAGCAACTAATATAATAATGTAATGTTACATTACACTCGACACCATATTATTATTTAATAAAACGAGCAAGTATAACTAATACATAAGTGTCTAGATGAGTTTTGTGTTACAAACCTTTGTGGTTGACTGTACTTACACACACTGTCACGGTACAAAATATAAGTGTATTAGTTCTCTATAATCATGTTTTCATATAGTAAATGTATTGAATAGTGTACATTAAAGACTCAATCAGTCTCGGAGCTATCGTCTCAAGTATTTTTACATTAAATGTATTCTATTTAAGTGTATTAACTAATGCTGTGTGTTTCTGTTTCAGGAGCTAACCATGTAGGCGGCCTAATAGTCACAAGTTTAATTTTGTATGTTCCTAGCTTTAAGTCGGTTATATTATGGAGACTTGTGAAGCAGCGACACTTGAGCTCATCTCGGATGATCTTCTATATGGAGGATTCACGGAGTGTATATAGAATATCAATACAATAAAAGTGTACCAAATGTGATCTTTTCAATCATTTAATCTGACAACCCTTACTGTGAACATTGTACAAGAGACTATTGTTATGTCTTATTCACAATAACACAAATTTAATAATATTGCTTACACAACAGCTGCCTTCAATATGTTATAACTATATGTACAAAGAAAGTCAAACTTTAAATATTATAAATAGCGGTGTCTTAGGGAATGTTAGTGCTTTATAAAATATTGGAGCGTGTGTGTGATTTTAACTTAAATAAAGAACAGAAAATTATTGCAAATACTTTGAGACTTGTTTCATAGAAATGTCGCACTCGATGATAGAGACAGTTGACAATAATAAACTAGTTTATGGATATAAAATGGAATTCAGACTTTCTTTTGCTGGGAGTAAAACTATAGTATAATTCCATTTTATTTTTGTACAGAGTAGAGATTAAATAAATTTCCAAATGAAATAGATCTTTTGTTTTTAGAAATATTGTAGCCTTGTGTTCTTGGAATAACAATAATATACAACCTAATACATTTACAGTAGGACCTCGATTATCCGGACTAATTGTTGACGGTAGGCATCCGGATAATTGAGAGTCCGGATAATCCAATATATGAAGAAAAACGGGCTTTTTCCATATGTCCATATGTAGTCTGTACCCTACATATGTAATGTTAGGTGTTTATTTAAAACAACAAAAACATATGAGCGAGAATCAGCGAAAATCACGGACGGCACGAGTGGCGTGGCGTTATGCGAGTTCTGACATGTTAATCTATACTAATATTATAAAGCTGAAGAGTTTGTTTGTTTGTTTGAAAGCGCTAATCTCCGAAACTACTGGTTCGAATTATCGAGTTCAGTATCGAGTGCAGTTATCGAGGAAGGCTGTGGGCTATATAACATCACGCTACGACCAATAGGAGCAAAGATATAGTGGGAAATGTGTAAAAAACGGGAGAAATTATTTCATCTTTGAAGTCTTCCGTTGCGTGCGCTGTGAAAACGGTTCAAGATGCACCAAAAATATGTATTAAAGAATAATAGCTCTTTTAATAATCTAAAAAACAGTCCGCGACAGTATATGTCTATCTTTTAAGATTAACTCACCAAAACTGTTTTTATGGTTTCTAATTTGGTCGAAATAATTTGTTTAAGTTGTATCAACATAATAATATTATTCAAATAAACATGTTTTTGGTTAAGAGAACTTCATTGTGAATAAAAAAAACATAGGTTTTATCCTGAAAATTCTAAGGGAACTCGACCATTCCGAAAACCCCACAAGAAAGGGAAAAATGTGGGAAGAACCAAAAATCTGAGGGAAGTCACTATTCCACGCAGGCGAAGTCGCGGCAAAAGCTAGTGTTAGAATAAACTCGTCGCGATTGGCAGTCCGGATAAACGCGAATTCGGATAACCGAGGTCCGGATAATCGGGGTCCTACTGTATATTGTTACGAATAGTTAGGTCATTACTAATTTAATACCTGATCATGAAAAAATATGGAAATGACGAGATGCAGACAGAATAGATATTTTTTTTTATTCTTAAGAAAATTATTGGATTAAAAATATATAACTAAAATTATGTTTAAACAGCTTTTAGCATTGATGAGTCTTAAACCATCATATTAAATCAATTTAATTTAAAATACTCTATAGAGTATTAATACTTATTTAGATAGTAAGTAGCTTAATAATATAAAAAAATAATACAATAATAGAGTATGATAAATCTTTTGAAGTACCTAGTTTAACAATAATAGTTTCAATGATAATTTTTATTACTGCATCGATCGATAGTCTGCATAATATATAGATTATTTTTTATTTTTATACTATGGCGTCATTCACACAAAACATACAGACTAAAAAAATTAATGTTGTTCCCAATATGACATCTGTCATAAGTGTATAGTCTGTGCAATTCGTTTGTTTTATTCTTCTAGATTCGAAACCCAGTTGAAATGGGGATTTGTTTATAAATCCATTTTAATCCGTGATCTGTTCTTAAATATTTTTGTGAAAAATGTCCATGTTTCCAGGAACAGTGGCCTTTGATGAGTATGGGCGTCCATTTATTATCTTAAGGGACCAAGAAAACCAAAAACGGCTCACCGGTATCGATGCCTTAAAAGTAAGTTTTCAGTGAATTTTTTAAATTAATTCTACAAATAAATATACACTTTACCTGAAACTAAAGTATAAAGATAGTTATTCTCTTATAATCCATGTATATAAGTTATAAAAATATTTACAAACAACCTAAAAATGTATATGTCGTATATAATTATTCTACATTTTATTACTAAAGAACGATTTTATCACATTAAATTGCTTCTCGATGGATTATTTACTGTATTTAGAGTAGATATAAGTAAAGGGAAAGTTATTTGTATACTTTCTGGGATTGTAAATCGCACTTAAAAAATCAGGTGTCCGGTCACATGATGACTAAGAAGACTACGAAATATTAAGAAAACATTGAAATACTTATAACTACATAATATAATTGACTATATTTGTTCCTATTAAAAGTTAATACAAACAAACAAATTAACTTTGTGCATAAATATTAAATGTACGAAAATTAATTAGAAATGAAACGAAAAATATCAAGTTACTATAAACATACATAGTGATGACTTATAATTTACGTAGTGTTTTGATTTTATAATAAAATTTTCCTTGGCTGTATCTGATACGATCAAACGAAGACATATTTCGTAATATATATATACACGCGTTAGTTAAGGGGTCTCTTAAACCTACACCTGGGTCGCAAGTCCCAGTCACTGTTGAAGCTCCTCTCACTACAACTATGGACCCGACACACACACCATGAATACATTGAATGATGAGAAGTTTCGTCTCTCTATACAGTATACTAATTAAACTCAAATATTTCCAGTCTCACATCCAAGCCGCGCGTCAGATAGCAGGCATCCTGCGCACGTCGCTCGGTCCTAGAGGCTTGGACAAGATGATGGTGTCTTCAGACGGAGAGGTGACTGTCACTAACGACGGAGCGACCATCCTCAAGCTGATGGACGTGGAGCACCAGATAGGGAAACTGATGGTGCAGCTGGCACAGAGTCAAGACGATGAGATTGGGGATGGAACTACTGGGGTCGTGGTGTTGGCTGGTGAGATATATACACTTGATATGTGATACTTTGTGTGTATATAAGATTAGTAGACTATATAGTATAGTATGGATTTCAAATGTATGTATGTATGAAAGTCAGTGGTAGTGGTGGCCTAGTGGTTAAAAGGCCCACCTCTCATGCACAAGGGCACAGGTTCGATCCTGACCTGGGCAAGTACCAATGTGATTTTTCCGAGTCATATGTACTTTATAAGAGTATTTAGACATCACTGATTAATGCTGATTCCCAAAAGAGGGTTGATGTCAGGCAGGCAGCCGGTCGTACAAACAATTAGCCAAAACTATTCACAGCATGTAAGACAGACCTTGGCTAAAGCTGGGAAATGGCCAGGTAGATGATAGTATAGTATGGATTTTATATTGTTTCAAATATATCTAGATGTTTCAGTTAGTTTTTATTTATATACTCCTTATTGCACACCAATATAAACAAAAATAATAGGAGTGAAAGAAAGAAAAGAAAACTGTACAATAGGCTGTGTGTATAATATACTACTTTCTGCTATAATACAATACTTTGTGTGTATACAGGGTGACTGGTGAATTACTATCAATATTTAAGGAGAATACTCGGTACATGATTCTCATTCGAATTATGTAAAAAATTAGGTACTTAATTTTTGACCAAATTTCCGTATAAATAAATAAAGCGTGGACACGTTCCAAGTATTCCAAGCGTGGACGCGTGTGGCGGCGTGCTGATACAACACTACGCCGCCACACGTGTGTGTGTGCGTGTGTGTATACCTAATCTGTAGGGTGTTCACACGATGCGTAATTAATTACATAACTTTTGGTTAACTTTACTTAGAAGTTTATTAATATTTATGTTATATTAATTTTTATTTTGTCATATATGATCGTCAAATATCACGTCCTCAAGTATCGATAGTAATTCACCAGTCACCCTGTATAAGAAGACTAGTAGACTGTATAGTATGGTATGGATTTTAAATTGTTTCAAATACATACTCTAGGGTCTAAATGTTTCAATTAGTTTCATCCCATTACCCTTTATCACGGTTGTTGCAATGTAATCGAAACATGTCGAGTATGTAGTTAAATTAATAAGACACAGTACTTAAAAATATTAGTTTTTTTAAATTAAATGCTCATATAAGTATGTATTAGATTTAATTAACTTAAATATCACCAGTCTTTATACTTGATTCCTCTTACATTGCCATGTAGTGTAGTTTTGCAATACTAAAATGCCTTTTTGATATAAAAATACCAAGTTGTCTTATTTCAAACAAAATATTAATGAGTAATATGTATCTTGCAGGTGCCTTGTTAGAGCAGGCCTCAAATCTATTAGACAAGGGCATACATCCCATCAGAATTGCCGATGGGTTTGAAATGGCTGCGGCAACCGCTGTAGCACACTTGGACAGTATCAGCGAGCCATTCCCCGTCAACAAAGACACAAGGGAGCACCTCATCAAAGTAGCTATGACTACGCTCGGCAGTAAAGTAGTGGTGAAGTGTCACCGGCTCATGGCTGAGATAGCCGTTGATGTGAGTAATATAACACAGAAATATTTTGTTTTTAATAACTTTTATGTCTTATGCCAGCCACATGCAACGGTCTATTGGAGAAGTCCACCTGTGCAGATAGACCGGAATGTGTGTGGGAATAGACCTGTGATAGTTTTAGTAATAAAACACTCTTTTTAACTAGTTAGGTTTATTACAAGAAAATATAGTCACTATGTCACGGAGTAGTGTTGTAAGCATAGAGAAAAATTATGCATGTAAAAAATATTAAGTGAAGATAATACAGATAATTAAGGAAGGGTAAGTTAAATCTAAATAAGGCGCGAAATTCAAATATATCCAACAACCTGTGCAGTTTTTTGAATGCTACCATTGTTTAGTTGACCTGTACAGATTACTTCTGAGGTAGACCGTAGCGTGTGTGGCCGGCATTAGATTTTTATTAAGTAAACATTTAAATGTAAAATATATAATGGAGCATCATTGATAGAAAATAGTTTAGAACTGCATTCTTGTAGAATATTGTATACCAGACACATTATTAAACTATATACTGTTTTTTATAGTTTTTATACATACACAATAAGATGGAGAGTGTTTAAAGATTAACTCATCATTCAACGCATGTAATAACAATATAATATCAATCTTATAATCAAAGTATACAATGTATATTTCTCTCAAATCACGACTGTGTTCCTAAGCCCATAAGGTTGTCTGGTAGAGATCACTACCTAGCGATAAGACAGCCTTATTGTGCAACATAATTAATATTTTATATATATTTCATTTTTATTGTTAAATTTCTATGCTATTGTGGTGTACAATAAAGTATATATTATTATATTTCAGGCGATCCTATCTGTGGCTGATTTGGAGAAGAGAGACGTGAACTTTGAGTTGATTAAAGTGGAGGGTAAGGTTGGAGGTCGGATGGAGGACTCTCAGTTAGTGAGGGGCGTCGTTATAGACAAGACTATGAGCCATCCACAGATGCCCAAGGAACTCAAGGTACGAGGATATATATAATATATGATAGGCAGTGGTCATTGATATCAATATTAAGTACAATAGTTGGGGAATTTATAAATCAAGTTAGTAATTATTTTAAACTTTCAATTCATATCTCAAAATTTTGATAGTTGGGGAATTTATAGATCAAGTTTGTGATTTTTGAAAATGTTTAATTCATATTCAAAATTTTGTCTTTTAGTGTATTAAATTTTAATATGTGACATCACAAAACTGTTGCCCCCTCATGTCCCTTGTCACATGATGTCCCCATCAATGTCAATCAACGGCATTAAAACTATTTCATTTGAAGGAGCACAGCGGTATAACTCTTTGCCTCTTAAGTGTTGTCAATTCAAAATCTTTAAATATATTTAAAAGACGATTAAGAACCCATATATTAGATGATTTCACTGATCTTGTTTAATATCACTACTGTTTATTATTTGTAGTCTTAATTGTAGTTATAATTTTTAAAATTTCCTTTGTAAGCAAACTTTGTTCTTTTTGGAAATAAACTTCTTTAAACTTAAACCTAATGTGTGATGTACTTTATGCAAGGTCTCTTATAGAATAATACTGTTTGTTAGATTTCAATATCATATATTCCTCTATACACTATCACTAGTGTTGTAAATATATTATATCAGCTCCGACAAACAATAACACTTCCAAGATATGTAGTTATTTCTTTCAGAGATGTAACAGTCTTATTGAAATGACAAACTGACACTATCATTACACTAATACATGTACTCATTGTTTATAAGGACTCACTTTATTATTACATTTATTATGAAACACAACTGACATTTAAAAGAAAATTAAAACAGAATGATTTTTTTCTAAACAACTTGTTTATTTCCAATTTTCACAAAATAATGAATAATTACATCCAAAAATGCTCTCTACAATAATATCTCCCCTCCTGGCTCTCAGCTAAGTCACCTTTTAGTCAATACAGCTCCTCTTATTTGTATTACAATATATTATATGTCTGTATATTAATACAATATATTTCCCGAGCAGGATGTCAAGCTAGCCATCCTCACATGTCCGTTCGAGCCCCCCAAGCCCAAGACCAAACACAAGCTGCAGGTTGGCTCGGCCGAGGAGTACAGAGACCTGAGGAAATATGAACACGACAAGTTCTTGGAGATGGTGCGCAGAGTTAAGGTATGGATGAAAAACATTATATACTCGTAAGGAAGTACAGGTGGTTGTTGGTTCCTCATACAAAATATACTGAATGGTTTATGATAGTCTCTTAATAATATATCTCAGGTGTAGAATGTAGTGTGTGTCCTCTTGGGGTAGTTAGTTGTATGACACAGACAGATGTCGCTGTTAGTTACTGCACATGTATATTGTATTAGTTTCTGTTTGAACACAATATAGAAGACAAAACAGACGAATTCACTGATGTCAGATGAAAAATATTATGTAATTCGATCCTGTCTTGAATTAATAGGACGCGTATAACTTTAATACCATATAACCATCAAGTACAAGCCTATAAGTATTGTAACCAATGATATATCTTTCCATTTCACTTCACAGTACACAGTATTCACAGTAAGTGTTGTAATGTCTCATGACCCTACAACCATCGCTCATAAGCCTATATTAAGTATTGTAACCAATGATATAATCTTTCCATTTCACTTCATAGTATAGTAACTCGGTCTAAGGTGTCATAGTAAGTGTTGTTATGTCTCATGTGTGTGTGTGTGTGTGTTGTAGGAGGCGGGGGCTACTCTAGCCATTTGTCAGTGGGGCTTCGACGACGAGGCCAATCACCTGCTGTTGTCTGAGCAGCTGCCGGCCGTGCGCTGGGTCGGCGGGCCCGAGATGGAGCTCATAGCGATCGCCACGGGAGGGAGGATCGTGCCTCGCTTTGAGGAACTGTCGCCGGACAAGCTGGGGTACTGTGGACTGGTTAAGGAACTCAGTGAGTATATGATATATATATATATATATATATAGGAGTAATGTCAAAACAGTGTTTTTTAAAGAGTGACGTCATAACTGACGTCGTTAAAGTATTTCTTCTCTACTATTGTCAGTTTCATGCTATTGAAAGTAAACTCGTAGATAGTTTCTTTCTAAAAGATCCTATTCTTGTGACGTCTCGAGCGAGACTGTGTTTAATCTGTTCTCTCGCCATTTATACTAACCGATATTCATTGTCGTGAGTACCATAGGTGGCTGGCTTGATAATTTCAACTACATATAGTATATATACAGGGTGACTGGTGAATTACTATCGATACTTGAGGACGTGATATTTGACGATCATATATGACAAAATAAAAATTAATATAACATAAATATTAATAAACTTCTAAGTAAAGTTAACCAAAAGTTATGTAATTAATTACGCATCGTGTGAACACCCTACAGATTAGGTATACACACACACACACACACAGACGCGTGCGGCGGCGTGGTGTTGTATCAGCACGCCGCCGCACGCGTCCACACTTGGAACGTGTCCACACTTTATTTATTTATACGGAAATTTGGTCAAAAATTAAGTACCTATTTTTTTTACATAATTCGAATGAGAATCATGTACCGAGTATTCTCCTTAAATATTGATAGTAATTCACCAGTCAGCCTGTATATACCAACCGACATTCAATGTCGTGACCACACTAGCATAGGTGGTTGGCTTAATAATTTCAACTACCGCCAATGATAATAATAATATCGCCGGTGTATATATACATATAACTTGTATGTATATGTTCAGCGTTCGGCACGACCAAGGACGAGATGCTGGTGATCACGGAGTGCCGCAACTCGCGCGCCGTCACGGTCATGGTGCGCGGCGGCTCCAGGGTCATCGTGGAGGAGGCCAAGCGGTCCGTGCACGACGCGCTCTGTATAGTGAGGGCGCTGGTGCAGGTACACACACACACACATACACAAATTATACTAGAAGACCCAGCGAACTTAGTACCGCCCTATAATCAAGAAATATCTGTTATAGTCCGTTAGACTTAAGCTGAGCTTTGCATTTGTGTGAGTAAAAGTAGAGTTAGACAAAAAACTTAGAATTCAATTCTATTATATTTTTAATAGATACATAACATAAGTGCTATAAAATAAGAAAAACTTATAAAAGTCCAGATGGTAATATTATGAATATTATGGAAAAAAATTTTATTGATTAATTTAAATTTTGAAAAAACTATACATTAATTCTTATTCACTTGACATAGCGTTTTCAACGTTTGATATTGCTACAAGTACAAAAGGTGAAGTGAGGAAGGTGCGGGGCGGAGTAAAAACAGAATAAACCGGTTCAAAACTAGAAAATAATGTTGCATTCAAAAATTTGACATCACATCTATACTATCCGTGTGTACTCACACAAATGCAAAGCTCAGCTTAAATCAAACGCACTATACCTTTATATCTGAATGAAGTTAATTTCTTTATTAAGTACTAGTTTTTGCCCGCGACTTCGTCCGCGTTAATTTCGTCATTAGTAATATAGGTATAGCTGACCGGGCAAACTCTATTCCGTCTTCAATAACCCGGTATTGGTATTTATTAAATTTCTCCTGTTTCAATCGAACAGAATGATTGACATATTAGTTAGTTGTCAAGTCTAATGTCAAAAAATCGTTTGTATGGGAAATAAAAAAGGGCTGTTTTTAGGGTTTTCCCGACAATTATTCCAATTTTTCTCACCTTTTAAACCTTCCCTGGACCTCCAGGACTATTTCAAGACTAAAATTAGCCAAATCCGTTCTCGAGTTTTAGCGAGACTAAGGAACAGCAATCCATTTTTATATATATAGAAGATAACTGACCCGACAGACAATGTCCTGTCTTTTTAACTGTGATTATTGAATTCTAATTGGTATATAAAATATGATAAATCAAAATTATTCAAAAAACCCAGTTTTTATTATTCTAACTACGTGAAAAATAATTTGAATAAAAAGTGAAATATTCTAGTAATTTTTTTTTTCTACTATTTTTTTCTTGCATAAGACCTAATAATAACAAACACAACAAAAACCGGAAATCGGTCCAGCCATTCACGCGTGATGCGGTGAACAAAGGGAAAAAGGGATTCATTTGTATTTATATAAATTTTAGTATAATAACTATGTACATAAATATTTATAATTTTCAGAATTTGTGTACTCACATTTAGAATTTATCATACTCATCAAGAGTAGTCTTAGTTTTTCTACAAAATATTTCTATTAAAGGAGTCAGAGACAGTGTGATACAACGTGATAATAGGATAGAGGGTCGAAAACACTGATTTTATTCTTACGTATTATATGAACGGCCCCTTATGTTGCATATCCACTTCAGTCTCAACAAGAGAGAGAGAGAGACAGAGATACATTTTCTATCTCTGTCACACTCGCTACTAGTGTATGTATGTGTGTGTATGTATGTAGGACTCCCGCGTGGTGTACGGCGGCGGGTCGGCGGAGGTGTCCTGCTCGCTGGCCGTTGCTCGCGCGGCTGACAAGCTCTCCTCGCTGGATCAGTACGCGTACAGAGCGTTCGCGGACGCGCTGGAGGCCGTGCCGCTAGCACTGGCTGAGAACAGGTACTAACAAGACAGACATACAGATATCTCGACACGATTACCATTCACACGGCGCCAAGATTTGGAGGCGGATTCTTATAGATTTTACGAAAGAAAAGAAAATAAAAGAATACAATTTATTTATATTCTGAACAGTTTACTAAATACATAGTTAGTTGTAATCTCAGCGCCGTACGAATCTTAATCTCCCTGGTATCACCTCTTGTCTTAGTATTATTTATCACTAGCTTTCCGCCCCCAGCTTCGCCCGCGTGGAGTTTTATCGCGTTTCCAAGAGAACTTTCAAAAGTCTGGGATAAAAACTATCCCATGTTCTTTCTCAAGGTCAATTCTATGTCTGTACCAAATTTTATTAAAATCAGTTCAGCGGTTTAGTCGTGAAAACAACGGACAGAATTACTTTCGCATTTATAATATTAGTAGAGATGGACACCTTCATGTTAGAATGTCAGTGGATAGAAAATTGTATAAACACTAGTAAATCTGGCACAATATTAGTTTTACTTCAATGAATAATAATTTCCATTTTAATAATTAACAATGTATTTCTCTTCAAGGTTTATTATATTGAATGACTATTTATTTTGAAGCTATAGCACAAGTTTAAATCTAAATCATTAATTTACACCGTTACTTTGACATGGAAATAACCGGTTGAACCGACATTACTTTTAAAATTGCATATATCTTTCATAAGTAATTAATATTATATTATTGTGATGTATGTATGTATACTTCCAGTGGTCTGTCTCCGATTGATTCTCTGTCCGAGGTGAAGGCTCGTCAGGCCGCTGAAGGAAAGACATATCTTGGAATAGACTGTATGGGACATGGTGAGTTGAACACACTACATACATATGTTATAGTTGCTTGAATGATTTGACTAAATATTGTTGAGGAATTTTTTTTAAATGGCTTAATGAGGCCATCAATGGTTTAAAAGCTTAGTGTATGTGAAGAACAATTAATAAGCCTTTTTTTATCTTCAAAAACAGACAAACAAAAGAAACTAATTTCTTTTAATATGTAACCTGACTGAATCACTTGATAATACAGCCACGGGCAAAAGTATTAGGCACCCTACAGTAAGACAAGTTTTAGGGTGTTTTAGCATAGCGAGTGTAAATAAAACTGCATTTATGATTACAATGGTTTATTTTAAGAAAATAATTAATATTTTGTAGGTCCACCTTTTGACTTAATAACCGCAGCCACTCGTTTTGGCATTGACTCTACCAGCCTGAAACATTCTTCTCTTGATATATTTTTCCATTCCTGCTGTAACGCGGCCAATAGAGCTTGTTTATTGCTAATCGAGTGCCTGCGGATATTTTTCTTTAAAATGGACCAAATATGCTCAATCGGGTTGAGGTCTGGTGATTGTGGTGGCCAGTCCAAAAGATCAATATGATTTTCAGCAAACCACTTCATGGTATGCGCGGACTTGTGGCAAGTGGCGTGGTCTTGCTGAAATTTCAGGCCATCGGTGTTTGTATCACCGAAAATTTGCGTTATCGACGTTGCTAGTGCTGTTTCCAGAACTTCAGTGTATTTAACACTATTCATTCGTCCCTCACACAACACCATTTCGCCCACTCCGTCGGCAGCCATGCAGCCCCAGATCATTATTGAGCCTCCACCATGCTTAACAGTGGGAACCACACATTCTGGGTTGTATTCTTCGCCAACCCTTCGCCTAACATAAGTCACACCGGGTGTTCCAAACACCTATGCCAAACGAAAAAAACACATTTATTTTCAAAGTTATTATTTTTCTTGCAGTACGTTATTTTAAAAGCATTTGTGTGTTTTAATATTGTACATAAAATAAATAACAATACCTCAAAGTTAGATTCGTCTGACCACAGTACGTTGGACCAATCTTCCACTGACCAATCTCTATGTTTGAGTGCCCACTCCAACCGATTTTTCTTATTGTGTTCTGACAGCCACGGCTTCTTCCTTGCTTTACATCCTTTTAATCCAGCTTTAAGAAGTCTTCTTCTCACAGTATAAACACTCACTGAGCTGCCTTTTGCCTCAGATAATGCTGCAGCGAGCTCTAAAGCAGTTTTTTTCCTGTTTTGTAGAGACTGCCTAATCAACAATCTATCTTCCCGTTCAGTAGTAACTTTTCTTCTGCCTGTTCTTGGTCTATTTTCATGGGTGCCAGTCTCTTTGAAGCGATTTATAGCATATTGAACTGCACATCGCGAGCACTTCACTTCTCGGGCTATTTTAACCTGAGACATGCCTTGTTCATGTAAAATCTTAATTCTTAGACGCTGTTCAGCACTAAGTTCAGATTTTTTCGGCATGATTAACACGTTAAATGTTAGTCTTTAGAATTGTGATAGGAATAGTTGCGTAGAAGACGTGTATGTTCACTGCAAGCACTGATAACACACTATAACCCGAAACGCAAAAAAAGCAAATTCGAAGAAACACCGTTTAGGAGCACACCTGGATGTCATAAATATTTTCTTTTATCTTAATTTGGTTAAAAATTGCCGCTAATACAATAGCTAAACCATAAAACACACACTTGACCGCAATATAATGAGATAGTGACTAACAATAGGGGTGCCTAATACTTTTGCACGCAGCTGTATTTTAATAAAAGTTTCTGATACTTATATTATCTTTCTCTTGTTTAAAGATATACATATAAGGCATAGTATTGAGGATTTTTAAAATAAATAACAATTTGTTTCTCTGAAAATACAAAAAAACGACATTAAAGTCCACTAATATCGCCTCCTCAATTATATCCCTTTGTTCATCTCTCTACAAGTTTAAATTTTTTTTATTTTAGTTTTAAATGCACAAAAAGTTAAACATAATTCGCCATCTCATGACGTGACTCTCATTGACAAGTTACAAACGCGCGAAGCGAAGGTAAATCTGAGTTTAATGAAATGTAATTTCATTACATATAATAATTGTCTTTGCCAGGTTCCAACGACATGAAGGCCCTATCAGTGATTGAGTCTCTTCACTCCAAACGTCAACAAATCTGCCTCGCCACCCAGCTGGTCAAGATGATACTGAAGATAGACGACGTACGCTCACCAGCAGACCAGGAGTAGACCAGTAGACCGACACTAACACGCTGGATACAACCTCACTAATAGACTGGAAAGAACAACTCGGTCTACGGATGACAGATATAAGACAAATAGTTGTATCAAGAATAATCTGGCCGGAGGGAGAGGGTCGTGCTCTCAGCGGGTTTTATTTTACAATATTAACTTAACTATGTTCTGTGTATTTTAATTTAATTATAATTTGCTCTGTAAGATGTTCACAAATTTATGTTTAGAGTGCAGCCGGAGTGGAAATATTGTTTAGTATTATGATTGTGTACCGAGCGAGTTTGAACTAGCTGATACCCTGGCTCTGTCTGCATTACGTGTACACTGAAAAGTTAAAACGCTAGTTCTTGATATGCAAATGCATTTTTATTACAATTAATGTAATTGTTAACACAATAAACTAATTGAGCTTAACACACTTGTTTCATTCAACAGGATAAGGTTTTATTTACATTCTAAACATATGAAATATTATAATTTTATATTGGAATACTTTCCTCTCTTAAATTCACAATATTCCCAAATTTCTTACATTGTGCTGTATAGAAAATATTAATATGTATAGTATTAATATTTTCTATACAGCATATAGTAATAATATGATATGATATAGTATAATAGAAGTAATATAGTAATAATATGGTCAAGAAATATATGTTATATGATAGTCAGATAAACAGGAACTAGTGTAGAACAATGACATCTACAATGATTATTGAAAGATCTGAACCCATTACAAATACATGATGGTCACAAATAGAAGCTAATCTCAATATATTTCTTAGACACAAGTCAAGTTATAAAACATATAGATTTAGGTATATCACACAGTTTTCTTCACACAACACCAGTACATACTACATAGTATCCATCACCAAGCCTCATCCGTCCCGAGCCAGGGTCCTACTCTGAGGGTCTCCTGGCTCGCTTCCTTCGTTATATATCGAACCTCTCATATGCCAGGGCCTTCCCCTCCTCCTCATACTCCTCGCGAGTCACACAGAAGGAATAGAAGTCTGGATCCCTGAACATCATCTTCCCTCCCTCCCACGCGTACGTCACAGGGTTGTCACCTCGCGAGACATTCACGTCGTAATGATCCAGCGCCAAGGCCCTGACTTCCATATACACGCGGTCCCTGAACCCCGGGAACATTGTATTCCCTCCGTACAACACTATGTTCTCTAGTAAACTCTCCCTATTCTCCTCCGGGCAACTGTTAATTGAGTGCATTATAGCTTCAGGGATGCCCATCTGTGGTATTCCTACATCCGAGGGTCTGAACAGTAGTTCCGGTATAGAGAACCTCTCGTTGTTCATCCTCAACGTCTGCTGCTCCAGGTCTTCGTCAGGCCTCACCACGTCTCTCAAGTATCCGCGCCGTATGGTCGTGTAGTCTGGTAACACGTAGTCCTTTACTATCGTATTACTGGAATCTGAAATAAAAATATATATACTAATTTATTTCCCCGATTTCGTCTGTATGGTGTAGATTGTAATAATTATATAATCTGACAAGTGGTTCTAAATGAAATACAAGTCTCATATAGTGTTCTTTAAGTCACTAATTATTATTCTCATCTTTGAACTACTTCACTGTTTTATCATAATCCAATTAGTATGGATGAAGAATCACACATCCATCCATCCTTATAAACTTCTACATTTATGTAATGACTAAATTATCCTTTGTATTTAATGTGTAAAGCAGAAAAACTATATATAACATGTTGATAGAATGACTTAACAAATCTCATTGTTTGAGAAGGATTTTTAAATATAAGATTTTTTTTTAACTTATTATAGATTTGCTAATCATTGAAGGATATTTAAGATTAATATTCATTCCAAAAAAAATTTATAATATCAAATTCCAAAACAAAATCATTCATAATAACTCAATAGTGGTTCAAAATGAACTCATGGAGTCTGCAAACATTTAGAAATGATTATGGTTTATAAACATCTAATGGTAGAAAGACAGGTATAAATGCTGTCTCCGTGAGCATGAGAAACAATTTCTTATACAAGCTCCCAAGTAAAAAAAAATATTTAACATAAATAAATCATATACAATTTAATAAACAATATCTAAGTCCCCCAGTTTTTATAATTTTTACAATAATATAAAAAAAAAATTCATTATTTATTGATTTTTTTCAACAAATCTACTGCAAATGAAACTAATATTTGAAAGGTTCACATCTCGTCTACATGTGAACATATTTGCTGCAAAGTAACCAAAATGTTGGGAGTATATAGTTTTCAAAAATAAAAAAAAAATAGAAATCTGAAAATATTACTTTCATTTAAATGACTACTCACGAAAATCTTAGATCTCATTAAATCGACTGCAGTATAGGATACATTGTATCTAGCCCAGAACACAGAAACAATGAAAAACCATAGTTAACTAATCAAATTAGATGACAAAACATACTGTAGTGTGTATAGATACCTTTCTTCCTGGCAATTTCCATGTCCTTCATGAAATCTTGTGAGACGAAGCACGAATCCTCTTTCACTTGGTTGATGACATAGCTCTCCTCCATCACATTTAACTGTCGGTAAGATATTATCTCCTTCAGGTGGTTCGTTAACACCTTCCCGCCCACATCGATCCTTCTTATCCCATCCTTATACTTTTTACCTTTCACATAGGGCACTATATAAGTGTAACTGTACCCTGAGTCCACAACTACAGTGCACTCATTGTTGTTTGTTTTCCTGTAGTTATATTCGGCCAAATCGGTGGCGTTTATTCTTAACAATGACTGACATTCGTATTCTTCGAAGAAAATTTCCGTCATTGCTTCCTGGATGGACGAGAAGTTAAATAACGGCTCCGTTATTATCAACGGCGTTTCACTGAAGTTAACGGGGCAACATTCCTTGCTGAAAATGAAATCCCAAACTGTTTTTTGTGTGTCCCAATTGATAAGGAAACCTTTTTGAAATGGAAGTATGTAAAACAGGCCCGAAGCGTCTCGGCATTCTTCAATCTGTGATCCGATGAAAGGCCGCCTCCTCTCAGACTTGGCTTTCATGATACAGTTAGGTACGACTTTCGGTTCCGATGTTGAGAAGCCCACTTTAGCTGTGTAAGCTCCATTATCGAGAATATAACAAGATGTTTCAGACATTTTGGAGGTTACCGGGCGATAGTACTATTTACAGTCGGAGACTCTCCAGTAACATAATTACTCACACAAGAGTTTGTTTAATCATAATGTTACGAAAAAATCGCAGTAAACTATAGTTAGGTTTTGTATTTATTTACACTTAAATATTTAGTTTCACTACTTCTAAAGCTAGAGTAAAAAACTAAGTTTGAAATGTTGATATCACATAAACGTCAACATACTGTTGTGTTGTCATTTGTCAATTACGATTTCAACGACAATAAGGCTCTTATAAAGTCTGATCAATATTATCTATACTAATATTATAAAGCTGAAGAGTTTGTTTGTTTGTTTGTTTGTTTGAAACGCTAATCTCCGAAACTACTGGTTCGAATTGAATAATTCTTTTTGTGTTGGATAGTCCAGTTATCGAGGAAGGCTGTAGGCTATATAACATCACGCTACAACCAATAGGAGCAAAGATATAGTGGTAAATGTGTAAAAAACGGGAGAAATTATTTCATCTTTGAAGCCTTCCGTTGCGTGCGCCGTGAAAACGGTTTAAGATACACAAAAAATATGTATGAAAGAATAATAGCTCTTTTAATGATCTAAAAAATAGTCCGCGACAGTATATGTCTATCTTTTAAGATTAACTCACAAAAACCGTTTTTATGGTACCTAATTTGGTCGAAATATGTAATTTGTTTAAGTTGTATCAACATAATAATATTAATCTTTATTCAAATAAAAAAATAAATATGTTGTTGGTTAAGAGTACTTCATTGTGAATAAAAAAAACATAGGTTTTATCCTGAAAATTCTACGGGAACACGACAATTCCGAAAACCCCGCAAGAACGCCAAAAATCTGCCGGAAGTCACTATTCCACGTGGACGAAGTCGCGGCAAAAGCTAGTAATATATAAATATGCTGTGTTTTATAATCTTATAATAATATTGTATTGCTATCAAGATAAAAAAATACATAATTGTTGAGAAATTACAAAAAAATAAATCTAGGAAAACACAGGTATTACAATATTAATCGCTAAAAAGGGAAAGATCAACTCAGATATTTTGTTAATCTTTGAGATTCTATTAACTAACGACGCATAAATCCAAATATTAAAGTATAACATAACCCAAGTAATTCTACTTGGAAGCTCTAAGCTTATATCTGTTGTCTAAAATTGTATTGATATGAATTTTTACAACACAATTTTATACATAAGTTTCATTTTATATGCTCTAGTCGATACACAATCTGTTTAATTTAAATATTTGTAGAAATGGGACTATTGACCGTAAAGGGTCATTTGATATCTTCTTTCTTAGTTAAAAGGAACCTCTAAGTAAGGAAGGGAAGATCAATGTGAAATAGTCTATAATGGCTGCGTTTCCTCCGATGAGTGAGAGAGCCGGTTGCACTTTCCTTTTTCGTCCTTTTCCTTTTCCCAACTTTTCCAGTTTCCTCTCCCTTTTCCCAAAATAAGGGTGGCAACGTATCCCCAAAACTATTTTACAGATGTCCATGTTCAGCCGTACTACCTCCACAGTGTCTGCGTAAGGCGTGGGCGACGTGGCCCATTGCCTACGGCCTCGCGGTACAAAGGGGCCTCGAGCGTCAAAAATTTTTAAAGCGAGAATTTAAAAAAATATATCTTCTTCTTCCTGGATATTTCCCAGCTATAACCAGGGTCTGCCTTACATCTTATAAATAGTTTTCACTATTTGTTTTTACGACCGTTTGCCTACCTGACATCAACCCTTTTTGGAAATCAGAATTAATTAAACCTATTTTGATAAGAATATGTAGTGTATTCAATGTTTTAATCATATTTAGCGAATAAATAGGTAGTGTTTAAGTACATTGATTTCAACGAAAACAGTGACATTTTTTAATTGTTTTTGTTTTCTTTGTGATTTGTAATACATCGGTACCTGTACTCGTCTATTTTACATAAAGTAAGAAATATTTAATTGGTAATAAGTATGTAACGCAGTAATTACTTGTATATAAAATACGCTTTATAATATCTTTTGAAGGAAACCAAAGCTTTAAGTATAGTCCGGTCAAATTAGACCAAAAATTAGGGTGAAATTACATAAATTCGCAACAAGCTGAATTTTGGTACAATTGTTCAAAACACGATTATAAACAATAGCTGAAAGTTCCCCATCATTCCCGTGTGTGGAAAAAATTATATTCAAGGTCAAATGTTAAAAAAAATATTTTTTCGCGATTTTCAGCAACACGGTAAGTTTTATCAGAAAAATACCTCAGACTAAAATTGTAGATCATAAAATCTATAACAAATGTATCAATACTTCTTTTCTTACGAGCCACCGTTTCTGAGATATAACGTTTCAAAAAGTTATAAAAGTTGTTATCGTCATAATATGCATGAGTACGACACGTATATACATCTAGAGTTTTTATATTATATATATATATATATATATATATATATATATATATATATATATATATATATATATATAACAGTCAGTGGTGGCCTAGTGGTTAAAAGGCCCGCCTCTCATGCACGAGGGTGCGGGTTCGATCCTGGCCCTGGCAAGTACCAATGTGATTTTCCCGAGTTATACTTATGTACTTTCTAAGAGTATTTAGACATCACTGATTAATGCTGATTCCCAAAGAGGATTGATGTCAGGCAGGAGTCCAGTCGTGAAAACAAATAGCCAAAACTATTCACAACATGTAAGGCAGATCCTGGCTATAGCTGGGAAATTGCCAGGTAGAAGAAGAAGATTTATATATATAAATATTGATTTATTTGTGTTAACTTTTAACTGAAAGCGAAGTTGTTACTGTTGAACGTGGTATTAATTAATGCAAGTATCAAAAGAGCTGATGATTTTTTGAAATATCTCAAAAATCAGAACTCTGTGACAATATATGAAAATTGCCGTAAAAATTATACTCGAAAGTCTTCTTTTTCTGTTGCTAATAAAAGACAACGTGAAGAACAAGTAGTCAGTACATCCACAGCAAGTCCTCCTCGTACTACATCAATTATCAGGGAATCAGCTTTTTGTTTCAAAGAACTATGCTTATTTTGTAGCGAGAAATTAAATAAAGAGAGTGAAAGAAGAAAATCCCCAGATTTTCGGCGTCGAATCAGCTGACTATTATATATATATTATAAAACTAGAAGACCCGACGAACTTCGTATCGCTCTATAATCAAGAAATATCTGTTAGGTTTTTTAATTATATTTTTGGAGTTTACCTTTAAGCCATAAATCTCCATGTTTTGAAGTGCGACAAAATGATTGACATATTAGTTAGTTGTCAAATCTACTGAAAAAAGAAACGTTTGTATGGGAAATAGAAAAGGGCTGTTTTTATGGTTTTCCCAGTAATGAATCATTTTTTTTTTAGCTTTTATACCTTCCCTGAACCTCCACGAACATTTGAATACTAAGATAAGATAAATCCGTTCAGCTGTTCTCTAGTTTTAGCGAGACTAAGGAACAGCAATCCATTTTTATATATATAGAAGATATACGTGTCGTTTTCATGCATATTATGACGATAACAACTTTTATAACTTTTTGAATCGTTATATCTCAGAAACGGTGTCTCATGAGAAAAAAAGTACTGATATATTTTTTATATATAATTTAATGATCTACAATTTTAGTCTGAGGTATTTTTCTGATAAAACTTACCGTTTTGCTGAAAATCGCGAAATACTCATTTTTTTGACATTTGACCTTGAATAAAATTTTTTTCACACACGGGAATGATGGGGTAATTTTGAGCTATTGTTTATAATCGTGTTTTGAACAATTGTACCGAACTTCAGCTTGTTGCGAATTTATGTAGCACCGAATGTCTAATTTGACCGGACTATTAAGGGTAAAAAACGTATCAACGTTTAAGTTTTTAAAACTAGCAGGTACTTAGTAAGAGTTCAAGTTGCCATAGAATAGGGCCTCGCGAAATCTGTCTTGCCCACATCAAATTTAGGTCTTGCCCCGCCACTGTACCTCCATCAAGTGGGTCATCTGCTCGTTTGCCCCTTTCGTCATATAAAAAAGCGTTAAAGGTAATCTTAGTGCGGGCCGATGTTGTGTAATCCTCAACATGGCTTTTAATATATAAAATTGACCTTTATACCTATCTAGATTATGCAAATAGAGATTTTAAATCTTTTAATAATTGGGTTTTTGAATTATTTTTTTTTTTGTGATAAATGGAAAGATCATATATAAGTTTAATAACAAAACTATTTTTATTTTATTTTTTTTTGCAATATTTAAAAAGTTATTTCAAAATAAAAATTAAATTTTAAATTCAGTACCGAAGACAAGCCGACAGCTCGTGAATAAACCCGAGCGCGTGTGACGTCACAATGTTAGTTTTTGCTCATTGTAGCATACAGAGATATAATAATTAGTACAGTGTTTTGAGTTTTTATCTAGTAAATTCTGTTGGCATTGTTAAATAATCAAAAGTTTTGTACCATTATGTACAAAGACTACAAAAAACAACTCCTGAAAAAATGTTTTTAAATGTTCCACAAGACGAAAAACGTCGAAAGAAATGGTTTCAAGCAGTGCATCGAGATTATTCAAAAACAAAATCATTTTTTTTTGTTGTGAAGATCATTTCGTTGTAAGTTTTCATAATAGTATTGTTATTAATTATTATTTATCTAAGTGTATAAATCGAATAAGTATAGTTCAATAATTAATTTTTTTACCTGGGCTCCAAATCATAACCTTTAGAATCGTAGCATTAAAAAATTTTAATTGATAATTCAAAGCGATTAAATAGTAAATCTATATATATGTTTGTCTAATAATTGGACTTCAATTAATAGATATTTTCATAATTTTATAACATTCTAGGTTCTGTATCAGACTACATTTAAATTTTTAAAGTACATATATGTTATTTTGGTTTTTTTATAATGTTATAATAACATTTTATTAATAATGATTTAATGAAATAATTATTAATTATATTTAATAGAGAATAAATACTAATTTTCATTTAGAATAGTATTTTTTGACAGACTACCTTGATGTCTTAGCACCTCGAACTTCAGCAAAATTAAACCGCACTTTTTAAAAAATTAGTTATCATAAAAATATATTAACATCAGGAATATTATCCGATTTTGCTTTTATAAATCCTTTATCACACATAGTCGAAATAAACTTTTCAAATCGTTTTTCACTAATAAATTTGAGATATTTTTATCAAGTTAAAGATAATAGCCATAAACACTGTACTATTATGAAATTGCTTTAACATTATGACGTCACAAGTATGCTGACCAATCATGGCGCGTTTACAGTCACGTGATATATTTTTGAATTTTATCAATTTTTAATTGTTTATAATTAATTTAAAAAATATATTTCAAGTTTTTTGCATTAAAAATCCAATATAATTAATAATAAAGTTTTAAAATACATAAAAAAAATCAATACTTTTTTTTTTTCAAAAACCCAATTGAGTTCAGAATAAACTCACAAACGGAACATTCTTTATTCATTTGTATTTTAATTGTTAAAACTCGATGCGTTCGAATCGTAAATCAAACCGATGACTTATTTAATCTTATTGTTTTTATTTAATATATTTAGTTTCTATTAAAATCTCAACGTTTAAATTTTTTGTACGGAATATTTCAACCGACCTTCTGAAGACTATTTGTCGTCCCATTAAAAGTTGATATTAAAAATATTATACTTTAACAACTGTACCTACCCGTCTACTCTAAGTCACAAGATATTTATATATTAATATATTAACGTAGTTTTTTTCACCAGGAATACACTTCTGTTAATAAATGTTATACGATGTACCATAAGCTGTATTTGTGAAGTTTAATGAAGGACAAATGCAATCATGTCAGTCTTGTGTACAGGTGTGTTATAGACACACTCTTGGTGTTTAATACGATATACATGCGGTCCTCGACTTACGTCGTTTCGATTTAAGTCGTTTCAAGTTACGTCGAACAATGTTTTGACACTATTCCTCAAGCATACGTCATTTGTTTCGATTTCCGGCATTCGGAGAATTCACTTGTCGCAAGGTCAATGTCCGTGAGGGGCACGGGCGGGGCGCGGTGTCGTCTCGTGCGAGGAATACCCCGCAAATGTCGCTGATTTTGTTTAGTACATTCAGGGACAACGGACAATCAAGACGTAATAAATTAGTTTTTTTGCATCTTTGACAGTTTTTGTGTTTACATACATATTTAAGTGAATTTTAAACAATGCCACCTAAACAAGACAGTAATAATAAAGTGAAGAAGAGAGTAAGAAAGTCAATTACAATGGAGGTTAAATCTAAGATTTTAAAACTCAAAGATCGCGGTTATTCGACTTCATCTATTGGACGAGAACTTAATTTATCACGCACGACGGTACAAACAATATTGAAAGACAAAGAAAAACTCTTAACAGCTCTTCCTTCCGTCTCTTCAAACAGCACTATTATACGCAAAAGGAATGCTTTAATTTATGAAATGGAAAAACTGTTGTACAATTGGATTCAAGATCAAACTCAGCGACGGGTTCCTCTAAGTTTGGCCATTATACAAAATAAGGCGCTGAGTATCATCAACACACTGCAAAATAAACGTGGCGAGAATAATAGTGACGAAATAAAATGTTTTTCTGCCAGTCGCGGATGGTTCATGCGCTTTAAAACGAGATATTCGTTACATAACATTCGAGTGCAAGGAGAAGCTGCTAGTGCCGATCATGTGGCTGCTCAGAGTTTTCCTGGAATATTAAAGGAAATTATCGAAAGTGGAGACTATTCGCCTAAACAAATTTTTAACGTGGACGAAACTGGTTTGTTTTGGAAAAGAATGCCCTCTCGTACTTTTATATCACAGGAAGAAAATTCTATGCCTGGATTTAAAGCGGCTAAAGATCGTTTGACGTTGTTATTGGGTTCGAATGTTGAAGGTGATCTTAAATTGAAACCCCTTTTAGTTTATAGGTCTGAAAATCCTCGAGCTCTCAAAAATTACGTCCAGAGTACTCTTCCAGTTATATGGAAGGCTAATCCAAAGGCATGGGTTACATCAATACTTTTTGAAGAATGGTTTACTAAGCATTTTATACCTGAAGTGAAACAGTACTGTTCAAACAATAATTTGGCTTATAAAGCTTTACTTATTTTGGACAATGCTCCCGGTCATCCTGTGCGTATTGCCGATATTGATCCTCAAATCAAAGTCGTGTTCCTGCCTCCCAACACCACTTCGTTGTTACAGCCGATGGATCAAGGAGTTATCGCGTCTTTTAAGGCCTATTATCTCAGGAGAACTTTTTCACAGGCTGTAAAGGCTAATGAAAATGATGGCATGGAGCTGAGAGATTTTTGGAAAAGTTATAATATCCTGCAATGCGTAAAAAATATTGCTACTTCATGGGATGAGGTGACACCCAACAATTTAAAAGGAGTGTGGAAAAAGTTATGCCCATTTTTTTTTGAGCCATCTGAAAGTTCTACATCTACAGATCAACCAAATGTCGATGAGATCACAACTGACATTGTTCATTTGGCTAACCGTTTGCCTGACTTTGCAGTTACTACTGATGATATTGATGATCTGTTAAGTTCACATTCGCAAGAACTGACTGATGAAGATCTTATTGAATTGGAGGCACAAGTACAAAAGGAAGCACTCGAGTCACAAGAAATAGCTTCTTCTATTAGTGACTCTGAAAAAGAACTTACACTAAAAAAACTTTTCGTAGCCTTTGCAAATTTGAAGAATGCCATGAAAATTTTTGAAGAAAATGATCCTAATTTTGAGAGAAGTTTTAACGTTAATAACAAAATTTGTGCAGCCTATCACTGTTACCAAGATCTGTATGATAGCAAGAAGAAAGAAGCCAAGCAATATAGAATTGATAGTTTCTTTAAGCCAAAAGTTTAATTTATTATTTATCATTACATATGTATATGTTTTATAATTATTATTAAAATTAATAACACACAAATACCAAAAATAACTAGCAATTTCATAAGTGCATAATATATAATTATTTTAAGAACTTACTTTTAATAATAAAGTACGTCCTTTGTTATAAATGCAGTTTTTTTTATTATTTCGAGTCCGTGTGAAACCTAACCCTTGAGTTTTACATGTAAACATATGAAAAAATATGTCTCGACTTACGTCGTTTCGATTTACGTCGCGTATTTCAAGAACCTAACATGCCGTAAGTACGAGGACTGCCTGTATAACAACCAGACCTACGGCGGGCCTTTCGTTGTAGACCTTCTTGTATGTGGACAAAACAATTGACGTTCTCTTTCCTAAGTTGTTAAGGCCAATTGGAACTTCACGTACTAGTAAAACATTCCGCTGTCTTCAAATTCACCAATTATCTGATCAACATATTATTATTATATTATCTTATGTATATTTCGGAACCACGTAAAATATATCGCATATCTTCATTACATAAAGACATATATATCATCATATCATGCTGGGATAAATAGATAATACCTACATAATATATTCAATATCGGAAATAAAAATAAAAGAAATTGAAGAGGCATTTATGTAGTAGAACAGTACTACTGTACCTACTGAGAAGACGAGATGACGAAGTTGTAACTATTAAACACCTGTACAACAAAATATCTGGATATATTTGTAATCTATATGAAAAATAATTAAAGCTTTTTTCTAAAACACTCCACAGTCCTCCAAGAGAAAAGATCAACGCTGGTGTGTATTAGGTAACAGTGTATATTTGGACAATGTAGATTTTTTTTTGGTAAAGAATTGTAATAATTTACTTGAGCTCTTCTAGAATATTGTATAAGATATATAAAGTTGTCTTAAAACATTGTTACCTCTAAACACAACTGAAATACATTGTAGCAACTCTATTAATAAAATATTTTTTCTTATTTAGCTTGTGAATTATTTTGTACATTTCGTGAATACTACACACATTCTTTTCCCGGTGTTGCACCAAACTAAAGCCAAAGAATTTCTAACATTTTCAGTGAATAATCAATATCCAAAATTGTCTTACATCAAAATATATTTGCCAGAACTGATATGAAAATTAATAATGGAATATAAACAATTAAAATGAGACAATTGTATTACATATTTTATTTTGATTATTTTACACTTGCTAGCTTAAATCTACGACGAAGCTTCATTGTGCTAGGATCTGGAAACAAAAAGATTGTCACATGAATACAGGAAGCGAGAAATATTTGAAGAAACTGTAAATGATATTGTAACAACATCAGTAGAAGAATTATATAGAGTGCTACTAACTGTTACAACCTACATTACACAGCTTAGTACTATAAAATTACAGAATTTATTTTATTTTGATGGAAAATATAAAAATTACTACTTAAGGAGTTACATATAATATAACACAGTTGGATAAATCTGCTGATTTTTATATATAACTGTTAAACTACTCAGATATAAATTGATATTAGTTTATATGTGTGGTTATATTCTTTACTTACCGTTTACTTCTTGAGGAGCTGGTGACGGGTGATGAGGAACGGAGCTGAGAGGCCGGAGCCCACAAACACAATGAAGTATGCCGTCAGCTTGTAGCGGTTGGAAATGTCGAAGGGAAGGTTCTGAAGAAGCATATATGTTGTATATAAGTATATGTATTATGGTAATAATAAATAAACCCCAGCCTATGTTTTACAAATATTATATAAGTAAGGAATAGTGGAAAACAGAAAAGCAAATTACTGATTTAACATTATAGGCTAGTTTTTAATTTTTATCTATACACGCCTTATTTAGATGTAATTTTATGTTAACTAGTACGAAAATTACATTAGTGTTAGCATAATATTCTTTGCAGTTGATAAAAGCAAAAATGAGTGTTTTTCTTTTGGATTCATTATGTAATGTATTGTAACATAGGACTCACCTCGCCGGGAACACCTCCGTGGGAATGGTTCCTGATGAAATTGGTCATCACATTCCTGCCGAGTTTGTTAGAAACACGAGCGAGACCCAACATTTTGAATCTTTAGTAACCAAGTATATTAAAACCGATAATGTGATTCAATGCTCACTACAGTGGCGAATATTTTCAACTTGACAAAACTAATGTCACGTTCATGATTTTTGACTTTTTTCGGTTGTTAATTTGAACGCATCTAAATTAAATAAAACAATATTAAATATATTTCAATTTATATTTATTGAGAGAAATTATACATATTATTGGTGCATTAATCTATTCGATCTATTAGTTGTACACGAATCCAAATTTACCTGTAACAAGGATCAAACAACGACTAAATTAGGATATATATAATAAAGTTATTAAGCAAAAATATATCTATATGAAATGAAAATTATATCCAAAATTATTTGCGTATGTGTATTATAAAAATTTGGGAAAACAATATTATGAAATATTTCAAGCAATAATCTTGTTTTATTATATGTTTTAATAAAATCGTCAATTTTAATGTTTAAGTTTGTTTCGAGTTTCCGAGCCATACATCGACACCTGAAATTCTCTTAGAACAATGACCACTGTAATAATGTTGACTGTAACATTACCTCCGAACATAAACTCCATTGAACGCTGCAGTATTCAAATATGGACTTAATTTTCAGAATACTAAAGTTAATTTTTATGTTTGCTATAGAAAATGAATGATTCCGTCTTATCCACTTCGTAATAAGGACTATAACAATTTTGTCATAAGAATTCCATAACTCGAGAATCTTTATGGAATGTCAATAATAAATCAATATTGCTTCTTGTTATTATTCACAATTTCGCCATTTAAAACTTCTCATTATTTAATAATTTACAGTTCCATATGTGTAATTGAGAAAAAATTATTCTAATTATAATTTAGTTTTCGAACGGAACTCTTATCAAAATTCTTATTCTGAAATAGGTTTTAAGAAATAAGTTCTAATGTTGTTATAATTTGAGCGATCTTTGTTAATTTATTTTATTATCTAATTTTTAAAAATTATCTAATGTACTTTAAGACGTAGAGACATACATATAATCCAAAAATATAATGTAGATATTTAATAAATAAATATATATAGTATGTATGTCTATTAACATGTAACTAACAACGATGTTATTCGTATGTTTTTAATACCAGGTGCTTATCACATGAAATAGTGACACGTTTCTATCGTAAAGGACAAACAAACATACAACATAAACATATTTATGAATATTATATAGTAAAGTGTAATAATGAGTTGTAATTCTTACTTCTTCTTCATCTGGTACATGACTATGAGGAAGGGTGACGAGATGCCGGTCAGCGCGAACAATAAGAAATTGATCGTGAGACGAGTGCGGTTGTGGATGTTGAAGGGAAGGTTCTGGAATAAATTACAATAATACGTTTAATATACACAGCAAAACATTAATAGTGTAATAAATAATGTATATTCAACTTTCTTTTCTGGATACTTTTCTTTCTCTATCTTATATTTTCAAACGTATAAATATAAATAATTAAAATGATGTATTACCTTCAAATGAATACACCTACCGGTCACACATCACGTAGGCACAATGATGTGTGAGAATGATGAAGTTGCCTTCACTTGCTCAGGTAACAATATTTCTTACATAAACGTGAGGTTGGGATTGATAATGAAATACTTAGGTGTTATGTAATAATTACAAAAAAATACATTAATATCACATACCTCTCCCGGGACACCGCCGTGGGAGCCGTTCCTTATAAAGTTTTTCATCACATTTTGCCCCAAAATTCTCGATGTCACAGGACCCAACATTTTTTCCTCTAACTTTAACTTCGAACTGACCAAATGAGATAAGATAAGACGATTGAATATCGGTTGATACCAATACCTACGACTGAATGATAAAACTTACTGCTAGTATAATACGAATATATAAAAACGTCTGCATTCTTTAAAAAAAGTGTGACGATTTACGTCGAATAGAAATGTTCATGTTTTAAAAGAGTTCTTTATTTTGTATCGATATATACTTATTTAATAAATCGATTGTAATGGATAATTTCACAGTTACTTACATTACTTTCTATCTAGTTTGCAAAAATCCCTTTTGAAATAAATAGTATTTTATCCTTATTAGTTCTATTAGTTTCATATGTAATTTTTTATTTTTCATATTACGTAAAGAAATGCGATTAACTTTTTTGACATATTTTTTTTGATACATAGTGTTACAATAAAATTTACCGTTTTGTAAAATGTTTAATTTCCAAAATGATAAGACATATTTATTTACTTTTCATGTTAGTATCGGTGTAGTTTTTAGAGTTTGTGAAGTGGCAACACAGTTATCTGCCATTAAAAAAATACAGACGGCCACGCTTGCCACAAAAATCATTCCGGGGGATAATTACCCCCTTTTCGTTTTATTCCAATATTACTGTTTTATTAAACGTTACCATTTTAAACAATAATAAATAGACATGGCTGATTTAGACGATTTCTTCGCTAAAAAGGACCGCAAAAAGTCCAAGTCCGTTAAAAAGTTCGCTACCGCTGATGAACTGGCAAAGAAACTAGAGGATTCAAAACAAAAAAGCGACGTCAGACCCAAAAAAGACAGACCTCAGGAGGGCGAAGAAGCTAACCGAGCGGTGAGTTCCCTCTGATGGAATTAATAGTTATAGTAAAGATGTGCGTGGTGACAAGATACATTATATACCATTGTTCTGATTTCACGACTGACTCGACTCAGAAACTGTGATGCGACGTGAGATTATCCAAAACTATGTAGTCTTAACATAATTTACATATATTGAACTCTCAAAAGATAGTGATTATGATCGGACATAACCTCTATAGTAATATCGAATTTATTTGTGGACAGAATGACAAACAGTTTCATAGTAATGTGTCATTTAGTGTTTGAGATCAGAATCGTAACTAGTTACCTTCATTATATAGTCGAGTGTTGAACAATGTCTCGTGTTCAATATATATAATAATTATTGTAATTTATTTATTGTAATATTTCATATAGTTTATGAATCATCTATACTCAGAACAATGTACACATTTAACATTGAATTTTTGTTTACTTGTATTTCTAAATTATAACTTCCCTGTTCTAATTTTTATTCCATTTATTTGATGAAACACTTTTATTTATTATTATTATGTGGATTAATTATAGTGTGTAGATGTTTTGAACGCTTTATATAAAGATTTGTTTAAAATTGGACAAGAGAAAAAAGTGTAAGACTTTATGATTATTAATTTAATGAACTAGAAATATCCTCAGGTTGTACAAGATAGCATGTATACATTATCTATCTGCCAATACATGTTAATATATTGTTATTATTTAATTAAGTTTGTTGTATAAATAGCTCGTGAGTTATTTGTGCAGCTTCTATTATGATACCCTCAGTGTGTCAGAATGTGTCGCTACATACACACAGTAACTGAAACAAACAAATGATAACTTCATTTTACAAATTAAAAATTATAAATGCACTGTTTTTCTAGTATAATTTAATTTGTGAACAATTATTGTATTAAATCTTTCTCAAGTCTCATCCGAAATCCGAATATTCTATTATATAACACAACACCACCGGTGACTTTGTTTTTTTGTTGAATTCTTTTGTAATGAGAGTATTGTTATATATAATATGAAGGATGTCATTATAATATTTATAATTTTCCTGTTTGATGCTAAACATGTTTTTGTTTAAACATCTATAGCGTTGTTATATTTTATATAACAATACATATAATATTAATAATTTTATTGAGGGATCTCCGACACAAAGTCACAGTTTGTTGAGATGTGATCTGAATAATACAGATGTGATGTTTATTTAATAACTGATATTTGTGCCATTTATGAATCTTTCGAGTAATAAATATTTTTTTTGTAGGAGGAAGAGTGGAAAGACTATGAGGAGCCCGTCAAAGATTACACGGGACTCAAGATACAGGTGTTACAAGGAGGGGCGACGCCCGACACCGCGAGAGACGCGGCCGAGGACTCCGCCCCCGAGAACACAAGGGGGAAGGGACCCTGGAACAAACCTGTATGTGATGTACACAGAATATAGTTAGAAATATGGATAGGTAGAGGGAGGAGCTCGGACGGTGGAGGTGAGCGTTTAACGCGCGGTAAAAAAGGACCCCTTAAACCTATTCCTGGGTCACAAGTCTCAGTCACTGTTCAAGCTCCTCTCACTACAACCATGGAGCCAGCATCCGCAGTGTGAATATATTGAATGATGAGAGGTTTCGTCTGTTTGGAATAACTCAATTTTCCACATTATAAAGATATTTCTTAACCGGTCCGGCTGAATAAATCTCAGTTCACTCCATACATCAATTTATTATAAATATGTTAGAATTGTTAACTTTAAACAGCCATCATCAAGATCTATAATAATCTTCTAATAACATAGATAGTATTGTAATGAGAGGAGCGTGTGTTGTATCATGTATGTATGTCTGTGTGTTAGGTGGAGCCGGTGTCAGTGGAGCAGCCAGCGGCGCCCCCCGTGAGGGAGGAGCGCGAGCCCGCAGCGCCCGCCGCCTACGTGCCGCCGCAGTCAAGGAACAGGGCCGTCGAGCCGCGCCGCACGCAGCAACACAGAGTAGGACACACACACAGACAGACACATAAACACACACGGACACACATAGAGACACACAAACACACCATACACATACACTGACACACATGGAGGGACGTAGACACACACATACTGAACACACATACACCTGCTCATTAAATTGTGCATCATACAAATCACTTCTATTCTTAGTCTCAACTTGTGTTTCCTACTGCTACTGCTATTTGTTGTATTTTCACTTTTCTCAAACAAAAAAATACGTTGTTTTAATATTCAATTGAAAATGAACAACAATTATAATACACACGTTATCAGAGCGTGAGTTTACCGACACTGAATGTTAACATTCCAGAAGAACGCCCCGGACATACACAACGACGACTACTTCCCCGTGTTAGGAGCGGCGAGGGGCGCGCGGGCCGGCTGGGGCGGCGGGGGCGGAGCGCCCGACAGACAACAACAACAACAACAACACCGGCCCGCGCTCAGCACCGGGAACAGGTTCACGAGCCTCCAGGACAGCTAGTGAAGACAGACGGACACAAAAAAATAGTAATGTACCATACTAATAAATTATGTATTTAAAGCCCCGGCTTTCATTTGACGGGCGAGGAGCGGCGCGGCCGGCAATAAACGATCATTACAACTCACACCGGTGGTTTTATTGAGAGAGAGACCTTGCTTAGTTGATAGTTACAGCTGATATTATGTGTGGACCATTCTGTGGTGACCTCTCAACTGCATGTTCATGTATGCATTTGCCGCACCAAAAAGAACAAGTTGAGATTAATAGTTTTTTGAATTTAAACTTCTTTAGGCGCATGAGGGCAAAATTTTTACATATGTAACGTTACGCCGATATGCAACGGAAGTGTCGAAAAAGAGAGAGTGAGTGAGACAGAGCGAACATAGCATGAAGCAACTAGTATGGAGTGAGAGTAGGGAGCGAGTGAGATAGATTAAGAGAAAGAGTGAGACAGAACGGACGTCGTATAGCATAGATTTGTATAAATATAAACGAGATTTATAAATTAGTTCGCCAAAGAAGTTTCACTTTTCACTTCTGACATGTGTACTTTGTATTCACACATTTTATTTGTTTTAAAGGCACCCCATCGCAGGGTGTTGTCTGACTCACCCTTGCTTTCTTGCGTGGCAAGAATTTTTAGTACAATTTATTTAAAATAAACAGTACAGATTAAAATTTAAGCTACTTACATTAGACTTAAAATTAGCATTACATACTGTTGGAATCTTGTCGGGTGCATTGGTTGCGGCACATGGAGAAACCATTCCAATTATAATACAATAAATTCCAGATAATATAATAGTTAAAATTTTCAATACAATCCAATAATAAATAAATATAAAATTCACAATGAATAATTTTATTAAGATATGTACATTACTAAAATTGAATTCAAAACATAAAACTAATATTGCGATAATAATTATAAATTGAAACAATTGAATTAAAATAAATAATTATAATTAAAATGAACATTAATTATAAGTAATATTAAAATTGACCATTATTAAAAAAATACAATAAATAATTGAAATTCAAATGGAATAACACTTATCAATCTTGTATTATTTCTCTCAACAGCTAGTTTGACAACCTTAATGCAGCACCGCTGTGTACACGGCCTGGAGTGCTTGTCGGCAATTAGTTTTCTTATAGTTGTTTCCGTCAATTTTGTTCATGGGGATGAAACTGTCATATAATAATAATTAACGTGTAAGAAATTAATGTATAGAAAGTGCTGCCATCTAACGAACGAGACAACAACTCTGACACTATTTTCCTTTAAAACTTCATAGATGTCGTAAATAGCTCTCAAATTGATTTGACATTAGGACAAATTTTTAATTATAGTCCCAAGATCCCAGAGCGATAAGACACAACTTATTTTCTAAAGCATAGAACTTGCGGTTCTAAGTAGTCTCTCGTGTACTTTTGGTGACACCTGCGCAGGTACCAGGTGAGAAAGGTAACTAAAAATCAGAGTTACTTAAGTTAAATTTTAATGACTGATTTTTATATATATTTTGTAGAATAATACTCTGAAGTAATATCAAAAAAATCTGACGCTTTCCATGGGCCAGAACTTTTGTCAGACGCTTTAAAGCTCTACAAAAAATAAAAGAACTTAATTTATTTTTAAATGTCTGATTTTTATATATGTTATTCAAATAAATATTACAAAGTTATATTTAATCAGTCAGACAAATTGTAATGACCAAACATCCCCTAAACACAAAAATTACTCAACTATGAGTAGGAGCCCGAGAGCACTATACATGCGTTTCAGAGCGAGTGAGACATCCATGGTGACTCGGTTCCCCTTCTTAAGTAATTGGCCAGAAATCGTTGCAACTATCAAAGAAATGAAAAGTCAAAAAAAATTAGGTCCATATTGATCTAATCTTCTATATTAATAAAAATGGATTGCTGTTCCTTAGTCTCGCTAAAACTCGAGAACACCTGAACGGATTTGTCTTATCTTAGTCTTGAAATATTCGTGGAGGTTCAGGGAAGGTATAAAAGGTGAGAAAAATTGGAATAATTGCCGGGAAAACCCTAAAAACAGCCCTTTTCTATTTCCCATACAAATGCTTTTTTTGACATTAGTTTTGACAACTAACTAATATGTCAATCATTCTGTTTGATTGAAACAGGAAAAACCTGATTATTTATGGCCTCTAAGACGGAATAGAGTTCGCCTGGTCAGCTATACATATATTACTAATGACGAAACTAACGCGGACGAAGTCGCGGGCAAAAACTAGTAATCAAATAATTATTTAATTATTAAATATATAATGAAAAATTCATCAGCAAATTCAGGATTTGAACCTGTAATTTCCAAGATATCACGTTTCAGTTGCTATTTGGTCCGCGTGGAATAGTTACTTCTGACAGATTTTTGGTTCTTCCCACATAGTTCCCGTGAAACTGACGGAGAAGATAATATTGAAAACGATCAACTCATGTTCTCGAATAGCAGTGATGAAGATAATTAAAATGACAACAACGATAAAAATATTTGATTTTTTTCTTTTAATTTCATGATATGTTTGGTGTTTTTACTTTTTTAATTTTTTGTATATTATAAAATGTTAAAGTAATAATAAGCATACTTAATAAAAATATTTTTTTCGTTAAATTTCTTATTGACAAATTACTTATTATGCCCTCCGATAATCTTCTATATATATAAAAATGGATTGCTGTTCCTTAGTCTCGCTAAAACTCGGGAACGGCTGAACCGATTTGGCTAATTTTAGTCCTGAAAGTCCAGGGAAGGTTTAAAAGGGGAGAAAAATTGGAAAAATTGCCGGGAAAACCCTAAAAATAGCCCTTTTCTATTTCCCATACAAACGATTTTTTGACATTAGACTTGACAACTAACTAATATGTCAATCATTCTGTTCGATTGAAACAGTAGAAATTTAATAAATGCCAATACCGGGTTATTGAAGACGGAATAGAGTGTGCCCGGTCAGCTATACCTATATTACTAATGACGAAATTAACGCGGACGAAGTCGCGGGCAAAAACTAGTACATAATATTTTTTTTAATATTGTGATTCTAATTTGAATAAACATTGAAATGTAGAATTTTTTTTTTAACATTTTTAATTAAACTTAGATTTTTGATGTAATAACTTATTGAAAAGAAAATTTTGCTGCATAATTTGTCTAAAATTAATACTTCTTTCTTCAATAATTTTATATAACGATTAATTTGTTAAATTAAAAATAGTTCACACAGAATACATTGCTAAATGACAGCTGATGCGCAGTAGAAGCTCGCAATAGACCGAGAGATCTAACTCACTCACACTCGTTCAGATATATGTTCCTCGCTCTCGCACTTACGGAAGACTTTCAGTGTGCCTGGCCAGGTAAAAGCTGTTAATAAACAATGATTTATATTTTTTAATGGCAACACTGCGTCGCTTGAGAATAACGAAACGTAATTGTCAAGTGACACTTGATTGTTATAAGAAATAAATAGCACGTTGTTTTATGATAAAAGTTATAATCTTTCATTATCCCCATAATCCTTAACAGGGTTATGGGCCCAGGACGACCATTAGTTTTATAGTGAATTAAATAATTGTTAAAGGACAGAAAATGTCAAAAGAAAAATATTTAATTGTCTCTTTCGCGGGGGACAATTACAACGTGTGGGAGTTCCGATTGAAAAGTATCCTGCGGGATAATGGAGCAATAGAGGCGATCGAAAAGGAGGATTTCAGTAAATCTACGGATAACAAGCAATTGGAAGCTAAGGCTCAGGCTATCATAATAGCGGCAACCGCCGATAGTCACCTTGAATACCTAAAGGACAGATCTGCTTATCAAATGATTAAAAGTATGGAAGACAGCTTTAAGGAGAAAGGTACACGATCTAAATTATTTATAAGAAGAGAGTTATCTGATATGAAATTCGACGAACGGAAACCTTTAATGGAACATTTTATTGACTTGGAAAAACTATTTGCACAACTCGGGGATGCTGGCAGTGAACTCTCGGAGGAAGAAAAAGTAAACTATTTACTCTTATCCATGCCGAAATCTTATGAAGGCATTATCACGGCTTTGGAAACTGTGGAAGAATTGAAACTGGACTTCGTGAAAAACAGACTGCTTGGGGAAGAGGAAAAACGGAACAGAGGAGTGACCAAATCCGTTGAGTCTTCAATCTTCTCGTGTTATGGATGTGGACGCCCCGGACACAAAAAATTCCAATGGAGGAGCACTCAACAGGCACGACTCAAGACTGGTGACTGGAGTCTTCAAGGCCGAGGATGTAGCAACTGGAAGTACAACGGAGGCCGAGACGATAGTAAGGCAAATCATCGTCAGACCCAGGGGAGAGGTAGAGGAAAGTCATTTCTAACAGGCACTGAAAATACTGAAGGTAACCAATTTGTAAGTTTTATGTCCTTTAACCCGGAAAGCGACCAGCAGAGTACAAATAGTTTTAAATTTGTTGTTGACTCTGGTAGCTCATTCCATCTTGTAAATAACATTAGTTTATTCTTTAATTATTGCAAACTAGATAAGCCAATTAAAAATTTCAGCTGCCAAAAATGATGTTGATTTAGAGGCTGTTGGTGTAGGGATAATAAAATGTTATTTGAGTGATTTTAAAGTTGATATTATGTTAAATGATGTGTATTATGTACCCCAATTAAGATAAAATTTATTATCTGTTTCCAAAATGGAAAAGTATGGTTTAAAGATCATCTTTAATAAAGGGGAAGTTAAAGTTTTCACACAAACCAATGAATTGATTATAGTTGGGCATAGACTAGGGTCCCTTTATTTTGTAGAATTTAAAGTATTATCTGATGATTGTTATTATGGTGCAAAATCAGACACCAATGATAATTCAGTAGAAATTTGGCACAAACGATTTTCTCAGGACTACTACTTTTTTTTTTTTTTTTCAACAAAATTCTGAAGCGATTTTATTTCTTTGTCATAAATAATATACAAGATTGATTGAAGTACAGGTCATGAAAAAAAATTGAATTAAAAAAAATTAACATTAGAAAGAAAGAAAGTATGTATAAATATATATTAAATGCATATTAATACAAAATCAAGTTCTTCAAGTTCTTTCCTCATGACAATAAACTTTCTTCTAGTCAGATTCTGGCAAATGGGGATTCTAGTTAAAAAAATAATATTTCTTAACATACTCAGGGTTCTTAAGTTCATTTTTCTTATGTTTCCCAGGGGTCATCCGTTCTTTTCTTTTCACCCTTTTTTTTTTTTAAGGGGAAAATCATCAAATGACCCCTCTTGCCTGGGTGGGGCAAGAGGGAGTGTCAGACTCTTACTGACTAAAAACCCCCCGTACCTACTAAAAATTGAATTAAAAAAAATTAACATTAGAAAGAAAGAAAGTATGTATAAATATATATTAAATGCATATTAATATAAAATCAAGTTCTTCTAGTTCTTTCCTCATAACAATAAACTTTCTTCTAGTCCGATTCTGGCAAATGGGGATTCTAGTTAAAAAAATAATATTTCTTAACATACTCAGGGTTCTTAAGTTCATTTTTCTTATGTTTCCCAGGGGTCATCCGTTCTTTTCTTTTCACCCTTTTTTTTTTTAAGGGGAAAATCATCAAATGACCCCTCTTGCCTGGGTGGGGCAAGAGGGAGTGTCAGTCTCTTACTGACTAAAAACCCCCCGTACCTACTCCTGCTCCGAGCCTGGCCGCGGTACATCATTGCGCTTACACCCGCGACCCGGCCAGGCATCGGCTCTAGGGCCCCATCTGTGTTGGTCCGATGGCTCTTTGAGGCGCGCGCGGTACGCTACGCGCCGTACGCCCGGGTCTGGTTCTGATCGGGCGGCGAGCTACCCTTGCTTGCCGTCCGCAGACCCGCGCTTACGGTGGCTGAAGATCATCTCGGGATCCCCAACGCCTGGTGCGTCCCCTGCGGCGGCTGGGGCGTGAGGAGGATCGTTTTCTCACCCCATCCGCCTCCTCCTTAGCTAGCATGACTGCTTCGCAGAAGGAGGAGACGGCTTCCCAGTTCCTCTTGCTCCGCACCATGGCCTGAACTAAGGCCGGACGCGAGAGGTCCCCGCCGCCGATGGTCTCCGTGAGAACACGGCGATGCTCAGACCAAGATGGGCAGTCCGCCACCGTATGCTCCACCGTGTCCTCTGGTTGGTCATCGCAATGTCGACACCCAGACGTTTCCTCCCTTTGTATCCGAAACAGGTACCTCCCAAAGCATCCGTGTCCGGTCAGTACCTGCGTCAGGCGGAAGGTGGGGACACCGTGACGCCTCTCCAGCCACTCCTCAAAGAGGGGTCTTATCGCTGCGATGGTAGCGAGCCCGGCCTTCGGCTGTGACAACCGCTCTTTCCACTGAGCCATAAGATCACGCTGGAGCTCATCTCGCCACGCCCTGATCTGATGTGGCAGTGGAGTTTGGAGTTTTTCTTTTCACCCTGGGAATAGCCCCATAAGCCTTAGTAATATTTTCATTTTGTGTTTTTAAACTTTTCCCCTTCCTGGCTCTGGCTATGGGGACTGGTATCCGTGACCTTGCCGTTTTTATTTTTACAACTTGCGGCCTTGTCACCGACGCCGCAATACTTTGCTGTCCTAGTGGGTCACTTGATAAGTTCTTCTCTTTTTGAAGTCTCCGCCCCATAAGCCTTAGTAATATTTTCATTTTGTGTCTTTAAACTTTTCCCCTTCCTGGCTCTGGCTAGGGGCCATCCATATAATACGTCACACTTATTTCATGAGTTTTCGAGCCCTCCCCCGTCCTTGTCACAGGTGGTCACATTTCTGAGACCCCCCCCTCCCTAGCGTGACGTCACATGTTTTGCAATTTAACATCGAAAAATTATTAAATTAAAATAGCAGTTCCGAAATTAGTTTTATTTCCATTTAAATTAAGTACCTTTTTATGAAATCAAAATAGTATCAAAGTAACCTACGCGAGGTGCGGTGCGTTTTGCGGCATTAGTCAAAGGGCTCGTCGGCGATCGGCACCGTGTGTCAGAAGCGGCTCAAGCGGCTATGAATTTGTCAACAAAACAAACCGTATTGCCCTAAAGATAGAGTTGGACATATTTTTTAGTTTAATTAATATTTCAAGTTACGCGATTAGTACCTCTAGATTATGAAATGTGATGTCACGAAACTTAGGAGCCCTCCCACCCCTTGTCACACCATGTCACACTTTGTCGACCCCCTCCCCCCCCCTTTACGTGTGACGTACTTTATGGATGGCCCCCTATGGGGACTGGTATCCGTGACCTTGCCGTTTTTATTTTTACAACCTGCGGCCTTGTCACCGACGCCGCAATACTTTGCTGTCCTAGTGGGTCACTTAATAAGTTCTTCTCTTTTTGAAGTCTCCGCCCCATAAGCCTTAGTAATATTTTCATTTTGTGTCTTTAAACTTTTCCCCTTCCTGGCTCTGGCTATGGGGACTGGTATCTGTGACCTTGACGTTTTTATTTTTACAACCTGCGGCCTTGTCACCGACGCCGCAATACTTTGCTGTCCTAGTGGGTCACTTGATAAGTTCTTCTCTTTTTGAAGTCTCCGCCCCATAGGGGCCATCCATATAATACGTCACACTTATTTCATGAGTTTTCGAGCCCTCCCCCGTCCTTGTCACAGGTGGTCACATTTCTGAGACCCCCCCCTCCCTAGCGTGACGTCACATGTTTTGCAATTTAACATCGAAAAATTATTAAATTAAAATAGCAGTTCCGAAATTAGTTTTATTTCCATTTAAATTAAGTACCTTTTTATGAAATCAAAATAGTATCAAAGTAACCTACGCGAGGTGCGGTGCGTTTTGCGGCATTAGTCAAAGGGCTCGTCGGCGATCGGCACCGTGTGTCAGAAGCGGCTCAAGCGGCTATGAATTTGTCAACAAAACAAACCGTATTGCCCTAAAGATAGAGTTGGACATATTTTTTAGTTTAATTAATATTTCAAGTTACGCGATTAGTACCTCTAGATTATGAAATGTGATGTCACGAAACTTAGGAGCCCTCCCACCCCTTGTCACACCATGTCACACTTTGTCGACCCCCTCCCCCCCCCTTTACGTGTGACGTACTTTATGGATGGCCCCCTATGGGGACTGGTATCCGTGACCTTGCCGTTTTTATTTTTACAACCTGCGGCCTTGTCACCGACGCCGCAATACTTTGCTGTCCTAGTGGGTCACTTAATAAGTTCTTCTCTTTTTGAAGTCTCCGCCCCATAAGCCTTAGTAATATTTTCATTTTGTGTCTTTAAACTTTTCCCCTTCCTGGCTCTGGCTATGGGGACTGGTATCTGTGACCTTGACGTTTTTATTTTTACAACCTGCGGCCTTGTCACCGACGCCGCAATACTTTGCTGTCCTAGTGGGTCACTTAATAAGTTCTTCTCTTTTTGAAGTCTCCGCCCCATAAGCCTTAGTAATATTTTCATTTTGTGTCTTTAAACTTTTCCCCTTCCTGGCTCTGGCTATGGGGACTGGTATCTGTGACCTTGACGTTTTTATTTTTACAACCTGCGGCCTTGTCACCGACGCCGCAATACTTTGCTGTCCTTTTTTTCTTTCTTTTTTTTTTTTTTCCGGGGAGAAATCCGCTTACAGACTACCCACTGCCCTGGCTCGACAGTGGGACTTGGGACAGAGCCTGATGTTGTTGGCCCTGGGAATACCCACTAAAACTCCCCGGCTTCCCTTCCTGCCCGTATTTGGGGGCGATTTGGGACCTGCTATGGCAATTCACCAATTCGCCCCCGGAAATACTTTGCTGTCCTAGTGGGTCACTTGATAAGTTCTTCTCTTTTTGAAGTCTCCGCCCCATAAGCCTTAGTAATATTTTCATTTTGTGTCTTTAAACTTTTCCCCTTCCTGGCTCTGGCTGTGGGGACTGGTATCCGTGACCTTGCCGTTTTTATTTTTACAACTTGCGGCCTTGTCACCGACGCCGCAATACTTTGCTGTCCTAGTGGGTCACTTGCAGTGGCGGCTGTACCTTAAGTGCGCCCGTGCGCTGAACCACCAATTCAAAATATTTAAAAATTACAAAATATAATGTCATCTTAATTTTTAAATTACCATTTTAATATTTATTTTTTAAACATACAAAAAAGTATAAAAAATTTAATTTCCAATTATGGTCAAAAAGTTTGAGCGCTTTACTATACTCATATCGTTCGCTCCGGCGAGTGCACGAGGACTGCTAATGCATCTTGTATGAGACACACATCAATACGCCTGGCGCGTGAGACAAAAGATAGTTCATAGAAATGCACCGAGTAACGAGTCGGTTCTCGCGCGCCGCACGAAGCGGCCGAAGTTTACCGAGAGCACCCGATGTATGACGTATTGAGCCGGCCGGCAAGGGGCCGGCCGAAAGGATGGGTGCTATGATTGACATTTCGTTAATCGTTATTGGTATTGTTTCAACTTTCACTGTATGCGTGACGCGTTAATTCGTTATTGTTTATAATTATTTCCGTAATTCGTTTTAGTTTTTATTTCGTTTCTATAATAGAACTTTTATTCTGTACTGTGTTTTTTATTAGTTGAAAATGAGTATAAATATTGATTATATTAAAGAAAATAACAAAATTTTTCAAAGTAAAGTGAACATAAAATTGGCCGGGCCGCCACGGCCCTTTTTAAATTTAAAACAAGAGTGTAAATCGAAAAATAAAGCATTTATACGAAGTTTTAAAAGTGAAATGTATAATAGAAAGAAATGGTTGTGTGGATGTGAGCGTCTTAATACATTCTTTTGTTTTCCTTGCATTATATTTGGCGGAGAATCGATTTGGACAGAAACTGGAATCAGATTTTAATAAAAAGGCGATAGAACATTTCGCTACAGAAAAATGTCGTCGCATTGATTTAATGTACAAAAAATTAACATATTTTATGTCAATTGTTGTTTTTGTCAATATTTTAGTAAATTGAACCACCAGTTCGATAACCCACCAGCCGCCACTGGTCACTTGATAAGTTCTTCTCTTTTTGAAGTCTCCGCCCCATAAGCCTTAGTAATATTTTCATTTTGTGTCTTTAAACTTTTCCCCTTCCTGGCTCTGGCTATGGGGACTGGTATCCGTGACCTTGCCGTTTTTATTTTTACAACCTGCGGCCTTGTCACCGACGCCGCAATACTTTGCTGTCCTAGTGGGTCACTTGATAAGTTCTTCTCTTTTTGAAGTCTCCGCCCCATAGGGGCCATCCATATAATACGTCACACTTATTTCATGAGTTTTCGAGCCCTCCCCCGTCCTTGTCACAGGTGGTCACATTTCTGAGACCCCCCCCTCCCTAGCGTGACGTCACATGTTTTGCAATTTAACATCGAAAAATTATTAAATTAAAATAGCAGTTCCGAAATTAGTTTTATTTCCATTTAAATTAAGTACCTTTTTATGAAATCAAAATAGTATCAAAGTAACCTACGCGAGGTGCGGTGCGTTTTGCGGCATTAGTCAAAGGGCTCGTCGGCGATCGGCACCGTGTGTCAGAAGCGGCTCAAGCGGCTATGAATTTGTCAACAAAACAAACCGTATTGCCCTAAAGATAGAGTTGGACATATTTTTTAGTTTAATTAATATTTCAAGTTACGCGATTAGTACCTCTAGATTATGAAATGTGATGTCACGAAACTTAGGAGCCCTCCCACCCCTTGTCACACCATGTCACACTTTGTCGACCCCCTCCCCCCCCCTTTACGTGTGACGTACTTTATGGATGGCCCCATAAGCATTAGTAATATTTTCATTTTGTGTCTTTAAACTTTTCCCCTTCCTGGCTCTGGCTATGGGGACTGGTATCCGTGACCTTGCCGTTTTTATTTTTACAACCTGCGGCCTTGTCACCGACGCCGCAATACTTTGCTGTCCTAGTGGGTCACTTGATAAGTTCTTCTCTTTTTGAAGTCTCCGCCCCATAGGGGCCATCCATATAATACGTCACACTTATTTCATGAGTTTTCGAGCCCTCCCCCGTCCTTGTCACAGGTGGTCACATTTCTGAGACCCCCCCCTCCCTAGCGTGACGTCACATGTTTTGCAATTTAACATCGAAAAATTATTAAATTAAAATAGCAGTTCCGAAATTAGTTTTATTTCCATTTAAATTAAGTACCTTTTTATGAAATCAAAATAGTATCAAAGTAACCTACGCGAGGTGCGGTGCGTTTTGCGGCATTAGTCAAAGGGCTCGTCGGCGATCGGCACCGTGTGTCAGAAGCGGCTCAAGCGGCTATGAATTTGTCAACAAAACAAACCGTATTGCCCTAAAGATAGAGTTGGACATATTTTTTAGTTTAATTAATATTTCAAGTTACGCGATTAGTACCTCTAGATTATGAAATGTGATGTCACGAAACTTAGGAGCCCTCCCACCCCTTGTCACACCATGTCACACTTTGTCGACCCCCTCCCCCCCCCCCCCTTACGTGTGACGTACTTTATGGATGGCCCCATAAGCATTAGTAATATTTTCATTTTGTGTCTTTAAACTTTTCCCCTTCCTGGCTCTGGCTATGGGGACTGGTATCCGTGACCTTGCCGTTTTTATTTTTACAACCTGCGGCCTTGTCACCGACGCCGCAATACTTTGCTGTCCTAGTGGGTCACTTGATAAGTTCTTCTCTTTTTGAAGTCTCCGCCCCATAGGGGCCATCCATATAATACGTCACACTTATTTCATGAGTTTTCGAGCCCTCCCCCGTCCTTGTCACAGGTGGTCACATTTCTGAGACCCCCCCCTCCCTAGCGTGACGTCACATGTTTTGCAATTTAACATCGAAAAATTATTAAATTAAAATAGCAGTTCCGAAATTAGTTTTATTTCCATTTAAATTAAGTACCTTTTTATGAAATCAAAATAGTATCAAAGTAACCTACGCGAGGTGCGGTGCGTTTTGCGGCATTAGTCAAAGGGCTCGTCGGCGATCGGCACCGTGTGTCAGAAGCGGCTCAAGCGGCTATGAATTTGTCAACAAAACAAACCGTATTGCCCTAAAGATAGAGTTGGACATATTTTTTAGTTTAATTAATATTTCAAGTTACGCGATTAGTACCTCTAGATTATGAAATGTGATGTCACGAAACTTAGGAGCCCTCCCACCCCTTGTCACACCATGTCACACTTTGTCGACCCCCTCCCCCCCCCTTTACGTGTGACGTACTTTATGGATGGCCCCATAAGCATTAGTAATATTTTCATTTTGTGTCTTTAAACTTTTCCCCTTCCTGGCTCTGGCTATGGGGACTGTTAAGAAAGAAAACTAAACCAAAATATTTACAAGATTTTGTCACTGATGTTTCAGATTTAGATGATATATTAATGGCATCATTTTTATCTTGTTCTAATGGTTATGTCCCAGAAAAGTATAATGATATAGATTCTTATGAGGATAAAGATATGTGGTATGAAGCGGTGAATGAGGAAATTAGATCTTTAGAGGATAACAAAACTTGGGAAGTTGTAAAAAAATCAAACGATGCTAAGTTCATTGATTGTAGATGGATTTTTACAAAAAAGGCGGGGGATGTATATAAAGCTAGATTAGTTGCAAGGGGGTTTCAACAAGAAGGTACTTTTAACGAAATTTATTCTCCCGTTTTGAAATTACAAACTCTCAGAGTTCTTTTATCATTAGCTGTTCAAAGGAACTATTTAATTCATCAAATGGATGTTAAAGGTGCTTTCCTTCATGGTGAAATTGACGAAGTTGTATATTTAAAACCCCCACCTGGTGTAAATGTAAATGAAAATTGTGTATTGAAATTTAAAAAATCACTTTATGGTCTTAAAAAATCCTCAAAAAATTGGTACAATAAATTTTATGATGTTATGAAAAGTAAAGGGTTTCAAAGAGCAGAAAGTGATTATTGTTTATATTCTAAGGATGGTATTTACATTTTGTTGTATGTGGATGACTTATTGATTTTGGGTGAGGACAATCCAAGGATAAATAATGTTAAAGAAATTTTAAATGCAGAATTTAAAATGAAAGATCTGGGATCTAAAAATTTAAAATATCTTGGTATTAATATTATTCAAGATAATGACTGTTTGTATATTAACCAGAAAGAGTATTTGGAATCTATATTGACAAATTTTGGTATGTCTGAAGCAAATGCTAGTAAGTCACCCATGGATGTTAATGTCAATCTTGATGATTGTACGATTGATTACTCTTTAGAGCATAAATGCAGAGCTTGTATAGGTTCTTTAATGTATGCTGTTGTAGGTTCAAGACCTGATTTGTGTGCTTCTGTTTCATATTTAGCGAGATATCAATCTAGGCCATCAGAAAGGTTATGGCAATGCTTGAAAAGGATTTTGAAATATGTTAAGGGTACCATTAATTATAATTTAAAATATAATAAGAATTGTAATTAAGAACCACTAGTTGGATATGCTGATGCTAGTTTTGATGTAGATAAAGATAGGAAATCTATAACTGGTTATGTATTTAAAGTATTTGATAATAGTGTTATTTGGCGTTGTAAAAAGCAGAGCACTGTAGCTTTAAGCACCACTGAGGCAGAGTTATACTCCCTCAATGAAGCCGCTCTGGAGGCTTGTTGGATTAGAAACTTATTAAATGAGTTAGACGTTAGTTGAAATACCACTACTATATAATATGAAGACAATAAAAGTACAATATTTTCTGTAAGTAACCCTGATCAAAAGATACTGAAACATGTGGATGTAAAATACAATTTTATTAAACATAAAATAGAATGTAAGGAAATTTGTGTTATGTATATATGTACCTACAAAGCAACAAGTTGCTGATATTTTTACAAAACCATTAAATAAAACCTGTCATAATTATTTTGTTCATAAATTAGGATTGGAAAAGAGTTTAGTATTTTTTATTGTGTATTTTTAGTTTGTTAGTTCTGTTAATACAAATCATTGTAATGTGGGTTGATAGTAACCCTTGTAATGTTGTTTCTTACTTATTGTAATGTTAGTTACGTTAATATAAATCATTGGGGGAGCTGTTAATAAACAATGATTTATATATTTTAATGGACACACTGCGTCGCTTGTGAATAACGAAACGTAATTGTCAAGTGACACTTGATTGTTATAAGAAATAAATAGCATGTTGTTTTATGATAAAAGTTATATATCTTTCATTTAATCCCCATAATCCTTAATCATCGAAACTGCCTGGCTACTGAGTAAATATAATTTAATACTTTCCTCAGTAACATACATAAAAATAAGCTTATATAATTTAACGAAAGGACAAATAAAATTACTTATAAATTTAGGGGTGCCTGGTTGGGGTTGCCACCCTACTAAGTGCCTGGCAATTTACAACGTGGTTTCTAAGATTATTACAATGAAAATACAGTGGACCCCCGGTAATCCGGCACCCCCTGTAATCCGACATGATCTATTATTTATTATTGAATACATATTTTGTATTTGCTAATGCATGATTGAACAAGTTACAACTTGTATGCACCATCACTACATATTGTGCTCGAAGCGTAGGGTATTGTTTTGATTCTGATTGCTTAGTTGGAATTTGAATTTGTACTTCAGAGTACATATAAGTACATATGTATATATAATATGTAAATAATCTTATTATTGAATCTTTAATTTGTCGGATTACAAGGTACTCTTGTAAAAAAATCCGGACTATAGGGGGTCTTAGGCAGTACTCTATAACCCAACGAATTCGATAGTTCGACACTGCCCTGCAAAATGTTTGTCCGACTACCGGGGGTCCACTGTATATCAAAACTGAATTCTGTACTATGAGGAAAGTGAAAGACAATTTTATCCACCTTTAGAACGTGTTACCTGCCAAAGCCACCGCGACCCAAATTTCATAGGTGGGGATCGTGACTACTTATATTGGGTACATCTATAGAAAAACTTTCAGCTTCTATAAATTAACGAATGCCTGGCTGGCCCTGGCTCTTGGATTAATAGATTCTTAACTGTAATGTCTTTTTTATATTACAGATATTTTACAAATACGAGCTGTTTTTTCCCAATAGTCCCCAGATATTAAAGATGGCTGTCTCTTTGTAAATTTGGAACTTGTATGTACATTTACAATCTTAGAAGATCATTAATATTATTTATCAGTAGTCCCGATAGATAAATTGAATTAGTAAAAGTCTAGACTAATTAGAAACAACATACCCTCATCAATGTTTTTATAATAAAAAAAGAGAAAAACATTAAATC